ACAACCCAATGATTATTTCGTAAAGAATTAATTAACAAACTAACTAAATGGATTATTAGATGGCCACTAATAATGCCAGGATATATATACATATGTATTGTTTGTGCATCTAATTCTCCGCGTTCATATTTACAATTTTAAATTATTATTCCGAATTGATATTTTAAAATTACTTATGAATAGCTAATTATTTTCGAATACGATTAATTTGAATTATACGTTCTCTTACAAAGATAGTAGTTAGTACTATATTGACTAGTTCCAACAAAATAATTTCTTATTCCCCTCTCAACTTAATATAAAAGAAATATTAAAGGAGCTTTATGATTGTATGAAAGAGAGAAGTAATTAATTAATTATATTAACAACTCTTATAAAATTACTTTATTTAAAAGTAGAGTTATCAATCAGAATCAACGTGACATAGTAGAGCTCTGAGAGTTTTATAATTAACAATAATCAGATTTAGATAATTAGATAAAACAAGAATTGGAAGAATTTATAGATGTCCACTAATTTTAAAAGTTTAGCATAAATAACCCCACCGACATGTCATAATTAATTAATTAATTAATTATTCCCAGTGTTGATTAATGATGCTGTAAAGTAGTAGGTTAATTTTTAAATCAAATTAATTAGTACGGCTTTCTCAACACTACTTTTCCACCAAGAATTAATATTCCCTTTTAAATAAACATGAAAAGAAAATCCAGCCATGCAAAGCAGCGTAGAATATTAGTAGCCCCAAAGTAGTGGAAGCAATTTATTTTTTTTAATCATAAATGAGATTATGAGGCGTAAAAGAAATGGATTAACTTATGTATACGAGTCATAGGTATTTATTGATAATTTAGAATAACAAGTTAAATTACATTATGTATATAACTTTAATTGTTCGAAAGTAATATAAATTTTTCATCTTCGAGAAAATATGAATTTATCTTTTTAACTTTTTTTTAAATGTACATTCTTGAAATTACACTCGTTATTGAGATGAAATTGGAGTATTATGATGTAGTAATTTTCAAACAATGTTAGTTATGTTGTGATTTATAAACAATTATTGCATGCAAGTGTAAAATATGGAGTAATTCAGAATAATCACTACTAGAGAAGTAGAAATAGAGGCCTTTCCTTGATGAAATTTTTTTCTTATAAATATCATTTTTCATTATACTAGAAAAATGCATGGTAAAGAAATGATTTTCAATCAAATAGTGAGAAGATTCTTAGTTTTTTTTTAAAAAAAAGACTATTGTCTTTTCTTTTCTCATTAGTTCAATTAAAATTTATGTGGAAATAATCAGTGAACTCAAAAAATTTAATGGGAAAATAATAGTTTTTCAGTAATTGAACATGCATATTATTTCATATGGGACTTGGAAGTGAAAAATATATTTCCTTACACCCGTAATTGATTACATTGAACTTAAATGTATATGATCGGTGGTATATATATCAGTTAAAAAAATCAATATAATAAATTACAGTATCAAATTTTGAGCTCATACGCTTAAAAATAGAATGAGTTCAATAACAACAACATTAGTCTTGAATCCACCGCCTCTGAATATTATTGACATCTAGAGATGAGATCCAAATGAGAAATGATAGCTAGGAATGTAGTTTCACTGCATGGAATAGTAAGACCACCCATTGGATGATCAAATCCATATTCATCTTCTGCTTTCCTCAACAATTCTTGAAATAATGGATGTTCCAAATAAGATATTGGAACCACAAACTTCTTATGTTTCTTGTAATACTTCTCTCCCACGTACACTACTATATGCCCTTTTGGTACCTCCAACTTTGTTCGTAAAAGAACATTATACTTAGCTTGTCGAATCATCGCCCTTAGTCCTATAATCCCCATTTATTCACTAATCAAACTTCTTTAGCTAAAAATTTCTTTTTTTCTCGCTTTGACTTGCCTTCCTTATATTTTGGATGAGAAGGAGAAGAAAGAAGTTAAAATTGTTCAATGTTTAGATATGATTGATGAAAAATATAAGTTATATATATATATATAGGATTTGAATTCTATTGGTTGTTTATGAATTGATAGAATAATATTATACTAATTACTATATGGAAAGAAGTGTGGACCCAAAGAAAGCTCGACGGTGGATGTTTCTAATTTTTCTTTTTTTTGTTGCATGCATTATTACTATGATAGTAGCAGTGATATCATACATTTATCAATTGGATCCCCCAACTTGTTGCAGTGTGAATACTTTTGAATGAAATATCTATATATATTTATGGTGATAGCCCATATTTTTTGTTTTAGGTCATACCGCGTATCGCTTTGTAGAATTCGAGCTATTTTTTTAAAAAAAAATTCTTTTTTCATCTTCAAATTTTATTTTGAAATATTTTTAAAAATTATATTTGAATTTACAATAAATTTGACAGTAGTTGAATTTCAAATCAAATCACCTGAATCGGAAAAAATAAAGTGTAATATTTTTTCTTATTGTATTAACGATCCAATACAATGATGTTTCATAAATTAAGAAGGTATTTAAGAATTATTATTTTCTCAAATTTTTACTTGATATATTTTTAATTCAATGTACAAATTTAAATAATAACAATTTATGTCAAAAGGGAAAAAAATAATACAATTGAGGATATTTTAGTCAAAATTTTTATTAATTTAATTTTTAAAAGTAAATGAATAACTTAATCCATGTAACAACCCTAAAATATCTTTTGAACTGAAAGGAATAATAACATACTATATACTATAGATTAAGTTGTAAAAACAATATAGAATTTTACCATATCAATAACTATAATATAAGTTTTGAGTCATGAAATATAATTTTTTTTTTAAAAAAAAAATTTTGTTGCACCCAAAGTTCGTGGTATATTCTGCGTCTTGCTAGCTGTTATATATCATTAATTAATAACATCAAGTGTCATTAAATAAACACAATTACGTCGCCATTTCGTGATAAATTTCTTTAAGTGCTATTGTTGATTTGTTTGTTAAATTTTTAATATGTTCCCACCTTGCTCTCTAAGTTTTGCCACTTCAACAAAAGTTATATAGTCAACATAACATAATATATTATACTTTTTTTCATTTTTTTTTATTGACTTGATACTTGATCACCTTAAGAAATTATTTCTTTTAAATTTATTTTACTATATTAAACTTTCTACTTTTCAAGATAAATATGGGTGGTAAATGGTAATGATCCTCTTAAAAAAATTAACTAGTGACATTAATAAAACGGGCAATTTGTTAATTATAACATTTTTGCTTCTTCACTAATTTTTTTAAAAAATACTGATAACTTAAAAAAATATTGAGAAAGGATAATTTTACAAAAATATAATTTAATATATTTTTGGATTTTTAAACATTCATTTATTTTGAACCATAAGGGAGTGGTAGATATATATTTATTTTGGACCGAGGAATACAATCCTTGTTAATTGTAGAGAAAATGTACAAGTACCCCTCAATCTATATCAAAAAATTTAAAGACATACTTATACTATACTAAGGTCCTATTATTCACCTGAACTTATTTTATAAGTAATTTTGTACCCCTTTTCGGCCTACGTGGCACTAGCTTGAAAAAAAAGTCAACCAGCGTTGGACCTACAAAATAGTGTCACGTAGATCGAAATGGGGTAGAAAATTATTAATAAAATTAGTTCAGGGGTAATAGGACCTTAGTATAGTAATTATTAATAAAATAAGTTCAGGGGTAATAGGACCTTAGTATAGTATACGTATGTCTATAAGATTTCAGACATAAATTAAAGGATACTTGTGCATTATTTCTTAATTGTATATTAACAATGTCTTTTTTTACTTGTTATTTTTGATAAATCAAGATTTATTTATTTTTACTATTATACCTTCGATTATTTATAAGATTAATGTTTTTGAAAAGGGTAGAACCTCTTTATAAGAAAATTGATTTTGAAGTTATATCAATAAATATAAATAAAATGATAAACCCACTATTTCAATTATTATTTTCAATAAATATCCCAAGTCAAAAATAGACAAATAAATAAGGACAAGACATTAATACTTTATGTGGTTAAGATACACTTGGAACAAAATAACTATAAAAAATATTAATTTATTAAAAAATAAACAAGTAAATTTTTTTTAATAAATGTTAATTTGTTAAGAATAAACAAGTAAAAGAACATTTTTACCAAGTACGAGTAAAAATGTCTTTTGTGCCTAGTTATTTAGTAGAGTAGAGCCCAACTTCTATATGTCAATATCTTCAAATAACAATATCTTAGTATACTAAAGTTTTTTTTTCGAAAATTATTTTTTATAACATTTTCTTAATCTATGATAATAATATCGTTAATATTTTATTATAATAATTAAATAAAATTCAAAAATACTACTTTTATGTATATTTATTTCTGTATATTTATAACGACATCATCATCTTTACCCATTTATACTAAATATCTTCCTTTTGGTAATACAATAGCTAATTATTTTTTATAAAAATAGAATCGTTAACATTACCAATAATTGACAGATATTTTGACCAATATTTTCATAACCTTAAAAAAAAAGTTGTTTTCTTATGCATTCGACTAGGATAATTTAGCTCATTAATTTACCTATCCGTAATTAGTCAAAACCGTTTTTACTATTTATTTGTGTTTCCAAGCAAAAAATAATACCTTGTGATATCCCATTGTGCGACTAATCATTATTTTCAATCTAAATATAATAATAATCCAACTGATCTTCCCTTCCAAAATAAATAAATAAATTATCAAATCTTTTGTCAGTAATCATTTGGAGGTGCCATTACCATTTAGTAGTTAATTCAACTGGAAATGATGCATTTATTTATATTTAATTACTGTATCTATTATTTTGGTTGTCAGTGCACCTAACCTGGCTAGCTAGTTTTTTTTTTTAATTATTATGGTCCATATAATTTTCCAGTTACTAAGATCAAGATCAGGGTAATAATAAAAAACAGGAAAAAGGATTTAGAAAAAAACATTATTTGAATATTGAATATACATATTACATTGGGAATAGTCCATGCTACAAAATTGCATAGATCGAGACTGACCTAGTCAAACTCTCTTAATCAAATGTTTCGAAATAAAGTAACTCTTCGTGGGAAAATGAGAGTTGCATAAATTCGAATGAGTCGAACCAATGAATTCCAGATAGGAATAAAAGAACAGAAAAATCACTAAGTCTATAAGATGAAATAAGTTTACAACACTTTAAAGTCTATGATGACTTTAGTAAAGAAATGAGACTAATAAAGTAATCTTCACTACATGGAATTGTAATACCTCCCATAGGATGATTATACCCAAATTCTTCTTCAGCCCAATGTAACAAATCTTGAAATAAAGGATGATTCAAGTAAGAAATTGGAACAACAAATCTTCTATATGTTTCACCAACATAAACCGCAAAATGTCCCTTTGGTACATCATTTGTAGTAGATGAAATACTTCCATTTCTTGGTGAAATTGTTCTTCTAAGCTTTTCTTTAGCATTTGATATTCCAACTAAACCTCTTCCCATTTTTAAAAAACAAAAAATTTGAGGATAAGTTGATGTTATAATTTGAAATGAATTTGACTTGTGTTTGAAATGGAAGATAGGTAGAGTAGAGTGTATATATATATATAGAGAGAGAGACATTTCAATCCTCAAATTGGCAATAAATTAATGAAGATTAATGTGTGAAGTTGGCAAACATATCAGGTGAAGAAATTGGCAAAAGACCACATGGTTTTGCCTAATCTATTTCAGGACATCATGTCCTACCACTTTAGGGTACAGCATTAATAAAAATCTTGAATTATTTGAAAAATGTGACATGCTGATTTTTGTTGAACATATCATTAGGTAAATAATTTTTTTTTTCCGTATAAACTTTTAGATGAGATAAATAGTTATTCAGTTTTAATATGTAGTGGTGCGGGCGGATGCAGTCTCGAACAACGGGTTCATTACTTTCCATGCATAGTGTAAATGTATGTGTAAACTCCACTAATATTGCACACAATACTATAGACCCACAATGTTAAAATACAGCAAAATCAAGGCTAAGAATTTTAGAAGTTCGAACCTATAATTTTAAAATCTTAGATCTTTCGTTAACACGGTGCTAGAGAGAAAAAAGACAAAGGATTTCAACTCATGATATATAGATACAATTTTTCTTGACTTTCTATACATAATATAATTTTCAAGCCCTCTACGCAGTACGCACTCTTAGCTAGCCACCCATAGTTATTATTGCATGTTTGTCTCACTAAAAATCCAATCTTGCACAACGTTAGAGGATATGTTCGACGCATAGATAAGTAAATATTGTTATATTTAAATTAATGAATGAGATGATCACGTATCTCAAACAATATCCATAAGACTTTTTGACAAACACTTACTAACTGCACTTCTTGTACCGTTGTTTATTAACAAAAAATAATGTTTCTGGATAATGTGAGGATAACAAAAGTAGCTCATTTTCCTATATTATAGAGGCATTGAACCTGGACTTGGCATTGTTTAAAAAATCAACCTTTTGCCAAATTACCAGAAAAAGTTAGTGGGCTCATTTCTTGAAAATGGTGCTCTTTTATTTCTTCTCTATGTTTGGGTTCGCTTATCAAGAATAATATTTTTGTTACACTGTTGCTGGTGTCGAAGTAAATGCCTTAATGGATATAGGGAAAAAAAACTTTTTTTGGGGTAAAAATTGGAGTAAAATCCAAAGAAAATTTGTTTCCAAAATGAATTTTATCATATTTTAGTTACTAAACAGAATTTAAGTTTGATTTTGAGAAAGTGTAGAAGTTCTGTCCAAAATGAGTTTTATCATATTTTAGTTACTAAACAGAATTTAAGTTTGATTTCGAGAAAGTCTTTAAGTTCTGTATATAATATGTACGTAATTTTATTTTTAAGGCATTATATATCAATATGTCTTTTAACTTGACTTTAAATCACATTTATAGTAGACACTTAAACTTGTATAAAGTTGAACAAATAGACTCACATGTTCTATATGTCATCCTACATGTCATTTTTTGTCCTACGTGGTGTCCTATATGTATTTTGTCATGCAGGACTCGTGTGTTTATTTATTCAAAAGTTGAATAGTTAAAGTACTTATTTGTGCATTATGAAAGTTGGAGATCAAAATTAAAATTTAAAATCAAATTTAAAATCTAATATATATATTATGCCTATTTTTAACTTGTTAAGGTATATAGGTTCTTTTCCTTAAATGCTGAAACGTTTGGTGCAAACTAAAAGGTACAAAATTTGTATTCAATAAATGATCAAAATTTGTTGTACTTAGCTCCATTCGTTTTAATTTCCATTTTTTATGAGTATTGTTATATCACTATCATCACCCATTTATGGCAAAACGTGTTATTAAAAGTCAGATCATAATAAGTATTGTTAAGTCAATGCAATTTATGTCAACACATTGTTAGTCATAAGAACCGATTATTGAAGAAATTAAGGAAGGCATACCCATCATTAATTAACAATTCATACTAGTTGTTGCCTAATTTTCTTCCATTTTTTGTGTCTGGAGACTGCAAGCCGATAGTTCACATTTAGCAATCGCACATGATTCTTAATTTTCACGTCCACTATTTGCTTAGTTATATTTTCAACAAGTCCTGTACACGTGGACATGATTCTTTCTCATAGGCCAATCACGTAGACATAACTTTTTAAATCAATTTTAGATGTAAGATATTTCTTCGAAAGTACGAGGTTAGTTGACTAATTAGACTTACTTAACATAACTAATTATCATGTTCAGATGTCTACAATCACATCTTTGATAATGAATACGGGGCCAAGTGAAAGTAATATAGTATTACTTATCCAATCCAAGTTGTCATTTGATCATTAGACAAGAGACTTGATCCATTCATAGTGGTATTAGTCAAATTAAAGAGGGTCCTCTTGCTTTTGGTTATGAGAAAAGTAGTAGGACATGATGTTTTTCTCTTCAACAAGTATTATATGGTCTAAGTACTTTGTCAATTAATGAATTGGAAAAGCAAACCATGTTATATTTCATGTGTTGTTGTCTTTCAACATCACTAAACATTTGGATATGCATTAGAAATTACTACTTGCCTATACTATATATACTTATGTACAGTGTTCTTAGCAAAAAAAAAAGAAGTTACTTTCTGTTGAACAATCAAGATAGTGATAGATTTTAGATGAAATACATGAAACTGAATTAGTTTGGCATAAATATTTGGTGTTTGGATTTTAGGCCATAGTGAAAACTGTCCATAAAAACCTTGAGGATCGGCGTTAGCATTGACCTTTATCATACATGGGACATTACATGAAGTAAGAGTGCATAGTCAAAATGCACCTAAAGTGCCTATGTTTGAACTTTGAGTGTTTAGCAGATTAGATTCCTACTAAAGAAGTGCTGCTCAATGTCGACTCATTATTCAATTTATGAAATTCAATGGGATCCAGAAGTATTGCTCAATGTCAACTCATTATTCAATTCATATAAATTTAATGGAATCCAGAAGTGCTGCTCAATGTCAACTCATTATACGATTTGTGAAATCTAATGGGATCCAGATACCATGTCTTCATCCATGAGATCCCAAGTACTCGGATCGATCAAAAGTACAATTCTATCCAAACCGCTCATTTTCAAATGATATCCATATTGCACAAGAATATTCATTTTTTATTTAAAAATTTTATATAGTTTGATCCATAACAATTCTCGCATTGTACCCACAACTATCTATATTTTTGAGTTATCCCGAGATCTTTCTTCTTTTGCTAATATCATTGCCCTTTGTGCAAGTTCGTCTACTGGAATATGTAATTTGTGCTAATGAATTTATCATAAATGATAGTATAAGTTTCTAGTTTCTACTTTCTACTTTCTTCTCTTGCTTGTCTATATGAACTTCTTATTGACTAATGAAACTGGAGGAATATTCTAGCTTAATCGATTTCTCTGTTATTTCGAATAATAATCATGGGAATTTGACCATTTTATAAGTACACTGCAGCACTACTTGAACCAAAATGCCTTCTGAGCGGTCCCCCTTTAGCACTATGAATGATCAGATTTTGTCTAAAATCTTCAGGAGATGCCCATATAGATTCAAATTTTATGATCCATCGATCGATGGGATGCTGACTACACTTTGACATCAAGAAATGTCTTCAGGAGGTCCCTAACTAAACTATTTCAAGAAAATGAGATTTCATGAATCTGTTCTTTATTTAGAAAAGCAATGGGGCCTTGTGCTTTTAGACAGTTTCAAAAGTCTAAATAGTTTGACAATTAGTTGGAAGGCATATTCATGCTTTGTACTCATGTGCTATTGTCTCTAAACAGTTCAAGCCAAAACTCAACTACACAAGTGATCTTTAACTGGTGCCTACTGAAAATGCCCATTCAATGAACATCACTAGGATTCCACAACTTGTCATAGGCCTATATAAACACAAAAAGAAAAGCCTCTACCACCACAACTCTCATCAAAACTTAAAACTATTTAAAGCTTCATTATTTGCTTATCTAATTGAGATAAACAACCATGGCTATCCGTATGCCTCGTATAATCAAGAAGTCTTCTACAGCTAAAGATGTACCAAAAGGCCACTGTGCTGTGTATGTCGGGGAGGAGCAGAAGAAGAGATTTGTGATTCCTATATCATTCTTGAGCCAACCTTTATTTCAAGACTTGCTTAGTCAAGCTGAGGAAGAATTTGGTTTCAATCATCCAATGGGTGGTCTTACAATACCTTGCAGAGAGGATGTCTTCATTAACCTTACTTCTTGTTTGAGGAACTGAAATGGAAACTTGCTTTCACAATTTTATACTAAAGCAAGATTCAGACACTGTAAAGTTTAGGAGTATTTAGAGAAAACAGTAATTAATGTTAGAATGAGGATTTTGCCTCTGACTAGGTCGAATAGTGAACTTATATTTACAAAGCCTGATTGTTAAATTATGGGAAGATAATGAAGTATTGAACCTTCTTCATTAATGATTTCATTCATTTAGAATTGGTGTTTTTTCAAGTTTTCATGGTTTTCTAACAATCTTGAGCCAGAATCAAGTTATCATTCCCAAACTAAGTGCAACAGAAGAACTACATAATGTTGTTAAGTCAAGCTGAGGAACAGTTTTGTTTTGATTGCCCCATTTGCAAACCAATCTTACTCTTACAAAATTAGTACATTTTCATATGTAAGGCAACACTAACTAAGTAACTAGTGGAAACAGTTTGTTGTTTGCTCCGACAGCAGGCAATTCAGAACTCCTTGAGACAAATTTAAACTCTTTTAACTTAGAAAACTGAACTTCAATACTCTGTGCTTGTAAAATTCAACAAGAAAAGTTTCACTACCCCTACGTTTTCTTCACTAGCTTTGTCTAAGTTAGTTGTAGCTGCATAGTTGATTGAGGGACATTATAAAACGCATCCAAGTGAAATGCTATATATAACCTGAGATCTAAGTTTAGCATATGACTAGGTCCTTACAAGTTACAGCTTCATTTATGGAAAAATCAACATAGTGATGAAACTGAATTTATTTGGCGTAAGTATGTGGTCTTTGGTTTCTAGGCCATAATGCTGACTGTCCATAGATACATAGACTGTTAATTTTGGTATAGTAATTTAGCTTCCAATTAAAGAAGTGCTGTTTAAAGTCTACTCATTATTTGACTTGTATATTCTCTCTTGACAAATTTAAGTCAGCATATTATTCTTCCGGATTTGTACCAGTGAATTATCAAAATGATCACCAGATTAGAAATAAGTTTCTACACTCTTCTAGTTCTTGTCTTTAACCTTCTTATTGACTAATGAAACTGGAGGAATATTCTTGATTTATCGATTTCTTTGTTATTTCCAATAATAATCATCGCAGTTTGACCAATTTATGTGTACTCAACTGCAGCACTACTTGAACAAACATGTATCCTGACCATCCCTTTAGCACTATGAATGATCAGAATTTGTCTAAAATCTTCTGGAGATGCCCATATAGATTCGCATTTTATGATCAATTGATCAATGGGATGCTGACTACACTTTTTTGATTCAATATCAAGAAATGGCTTCAGGTGGTCCCTAATTAAACTATTTCATGAAAATGAGCTTTCATGAATCTGTTCTTTAATTAGAAAAGCAATGGGGTCTTATGCTTTTAGACATAGTTTCACAGTCTAAATATTTTGATCATTAGTTGGAAGGCATATTCATGTGTAATACTCATGTGCTATTGTCTCTAAATAGTTCAAGCCAAAACTCAACTACACAAGTAATCTTTAACTGGTGGTGCCTACTGAAAATGCCAATTCAATGCACTTCACTGGGATTCCACAACTTTCCATTGGCCTATATAAACACATAAAGAGAAGCCTCAACCATCACATTTCTCAGCAAGACTTGAAACATTCAAAGCTTTACTCTGCTTTCAAAGTCCTTACAAGTTCTTTCCTTCATTATTTGCTCATCTACATTGAACTAAACAACCATGGCTGTCCGTATGCCTCGTATAATCAAGAAATCATCTACAGCTAAAGATGTTCCTAAAGGCCACTGTGCTGTGTATGTTGGGGAGGAGCAGAAGAAGAGATTTATAATTCCTATATCATTCTTGAGTCAACCTTTATTTCAAAACTTGCTTAGTCAAGCCGAGGAAGAATTTGGTTTCGATCATCCAATGGGTGGTCTTACAATACCTTGTAGAGAGGATGTCTTTGTTAACCTTACTTCTCGTTTGAAGAACTGAAATGGAAACTTGCTTTCACAATTTTATACTTAAGCAAGATTCGGACAATGTAAAATCTAGGAGTTAGAGAAAACAGTAATTGATGTTAGAATGAGGATATTGCCTCTGAGTAGGTAGATTAGTGAACTTATATTTACAAAGCCTGATTGTTATATTATAGGAAGATAATGAATTATTGAACCTTCTTCAATTGATGATTCCATTCATTTAGCACGGTGTTTTTTCAAATTTTCATGGTTTTCTAACAGTAAGTGATCATTCCCAAACTAAGTGCAATAGAAGAACTACACAATGTGATAAAATCTACAGTTCTTTGCCTCTCCGCTTCCTATTAAAATGGGACGTACAAAGGCCTAGAACCTTTGCTTTAGCCTTTGAGTATTAGTTTCAAGACTTGTTACGTCGAGATGAGTAGCAGTTTTGTTTTTGATCACCCCATTTGTGAACCAATCTTACTCTTGCGAAATTAGTACTATTTCAGCAATTTTGCAACCTCTTGTTACTCTTGAGTAATTGGTTAACACAGAACTGTGCTGCATTTTCATATGTAAGGCAATACTAACCAACTAATTAGTGGAAACAGTTTGTTGGTTACTCCGACAGCAGGCATTTTAGAACTCCTTGAGACAAATTTAAACTTTTTTAACTTAGAAAATTGAAATTCAGTACTCTGTGCTTGTAAAATTCAACAAGAAAAGAGTCACTACTCCCACTTTTCATTGCTAGCTTTCTCTCATTACTTGTAGCTGCACAATTGATTGAGGGACATTATAAAACGCATCCAAGTGAATAAAGGGAAGATCTGAGATCTGAGTTTAGCATTAAGACTAGGTCCTTGCAATGCATAGGAACTGACCAGGATCATCATCATAAGATTTTTAACTTTTCCAACTTGCTAGGTGTAACTTACCAATAGCAATATTTATGGGAAAATCAAGAATATTCGGTCTTTGGTTTCTAGACCATACAGGCCTTAATGCTGACTGTCCATTAATACATAGAATGTTTAGTTTGTTATAGAAATTTAGACTCCAATTAAAGCAGTACTGTTCAAAGTCAACTCATTATTCGATTAATATAATCTCTTGACAAATTTAAGTCAGTATTATTTTTGTGGATTTGTATCAGTGAATTATCATAAATGATTACCAGATTAGAGATAAGTTTCTCCATTCTTCTCTTGCTTGTCTATAATCTTCTTAGTGACTAATGCAACTTGAGAAATATTGTAGCTTACTAGCTTAATTGAGTTCTCTACAATAATCATCCTAAATTGACCGTGTTATAAATATTCAACAGCAGCACCATATGACAAGAATCAACATGCATCCTGAGCCGTCCCTTCAGCACTATGGATGATCACCTTTTGTCTAAAATATTCTAGAGATCATATAGATCGTGTTTTATGATCAATCAGTGGAATGCCGACTATACTTTGGTGATTCAACATCAAGAAAATGATATATCATGAATCTGTTCTTTTTTTGTTTAAATCAGTAGGGCCTTCTGCTTTTAGACATTTTTTGGAAGTCTAAAATAGTTGGAAGGCATATTCATGGGTCATCTCATGTGCAATTGTCTCTAAACAGTGCCTCACCAAAACTCAACTACACAATAATCTTTAAGCGGTGCCTACATAAAATGCATATCACTAAGACTTCTCTACTGGCCATTATCCTATATAAACACATAAAAAAGAACCCTTACCACCACAGCTCTCAGCAAAACCTGAAACTATTCAAATCTTTGCTCTGCTTTCAAAGTCCTTACTTACAATATTTGCTCATCTATATTGAACTAAACAATCATGGCTATCCGTATGCCTCGTATAATCAAGAAGTCTTCTAAAACTAAAGATGTTCCGAAAGGCCACTGTGCTGTGTATGTTGGGGAGGAACAGAAGAAGAGATTTGTGATCCCTATATCATTCTTGAGCCAACCTTTATTTCAAGACTTGCTTATCCAAGCTGAGGAAGAATTTGGTTTCGATCATCCAATGGGCGGTCTCACAATACCTTGCAAAGAGGGTGTCTTCATTAACCTTACTTCTCGTTTGAGAAACTGATATGGAAACTTGCTTTCACAAATTTATAGAAAGTAAAGCAGGATTCGCAGAGTCTGTAAATTTTAGGAGTTGGAAGAAAACAATAGTTGACATTACAACGAGGGTTAGTGCCTCTGACTAGGTAGATTAGTACTTATATTTACTATGCTGGATTTTTATTCATGTCAAAGAGATGAATGACCCTTTGACAATTGATCAAAGATACTGAAATTTTGGTAATTTTCTCCTAATCTTTTAATTAATGGATATATTCAATTAGCATTTGGTAATCCAGCAACGTCAAATTGAATCCATTGAAACTTTACCGATAAACTAGAGAACTCGTTACAATGATTAAAACATTACGTTGATATCATTAGCTAAGTAAATTGAAAGAATTTAATAATTGGGGATTAGGGCTAAAAAGGCCACTTTGTCCATTGATTTCTATTACTTATTCCTTCGGTTAAAATATATGAAAATCATAGTATAATCATTAGAATGGTATAAGGAATGCATACCTAGATTTATAGGATGCAGTTCCAACTGGCTGTTGCTTAATTCCGGCCGGTCTACTCAGTCTCCGGCTCCGACGATCCAGAAACTTGATTCTATCTTTTTCTTTGCGGGCTTCGACCATCAAATCGAACACGCTAATCAAGAAACCGCCCTATCACTCCAATCACAAAATTTAATCATCGTTTCAATGATTTAATTCCGAAAAACTCCCTTGTCCCCATTTACTCGCCCATATTTTCTGTTATATTTGTTTCTATTTACTAGTTCATTTTAACAAATCAAGAAAATATTTTTTTTGAAACAAAAAAATAAATTTATTATACTTGGTGAGTTACATATCTTTTAAGTTAAAAGTAAAATTGTAACTAACTTATGATAATAATTGGTGTAATATGTGTCAATTCAAAAGATGATAACTAAATAAAAACAGCGAGAGTATATACAAGGCAGATTCATGTAATCAAGAAACTAGAATTCTGGTAATTTTAAGAAATTAGTTCTTACCATATGTTTTTTATTAGTTTATGTTGATTATCACACTATTATGAAGTTGTTACTGTTTTTCTAACTTTACCTTGCTTTTCTTATTAACTGCTATGTTTCTTTCATATTTTTCTTCTTTTACTAGAGTTTGATGCACTTGAGTTGAAGGTTTTTGGAGAACAACCTATCTACCTCCACGAGATAGAGGTAATATTTACGTATATTTTATTCTCACGTGACCCTACTTTATGAATTTCACTGGGCATGTTGTTGTTGTTGGATTCATGTGGACTCATAACTTTAAGGCTAGATGATCTATCTACAAGTCCAGCATACAAACGAAAATATCCTGTTTTAGTAAACTAGGCGACACAGGACCATAATGCTGGCCAAATTGGAATGAAGGTAGATTGCCATTATAAAAAGGTGCTATCTAAAGTCAACTCATTATTCTCCTTATAAAAACTAAACAACTCAAGGAGCACTGAGTCAATTGATTTTTCTGAAATATTTAAGTCAGCACAGCATGTTATTCTTATGGAGTAGAGATAATCTTCTATATTCTTCAGGCTACGTTCTCTTGGTTGTTTCCTACAAAATAGTGGTGAGAGTCCACACATGCTTAGCAGTGGAATAACAGGAGTATACACTGGTTGGCTTTGCTCTTCATTGACCAGAAACATTGAACAATTATGACCTTCTTATCGATAAATGGAACTCTAGAAATATTCCAACTTATCCAAATCTCTATTATTCAAATAATAATGATCCTAATTTGACCGTTTTATAGTTACTGTATAAGTCTTCAATAGCAGCACCAACTTGTATCATGGGCCATGACTTGAGTATTTTAATTGATCATTGGAATGCTGACTACAACTTGTTGATTCAACACCAAGAAATGTCACCAGGTGGTCCCTAAATCTACCATTTTCAAGAAGATGAGGTTTCCATTTGTTGTTTGTTGTGAATATCAGTGGGACCTTCTGCTTTTAGGCAGAGTTTCAAAGTCTAAATAGTTTGATGATTAGCCTTCTAAATAGTCTGATGATTAGTTGGAAGGCATAATCATGTGCTATTGTCTCTAAACAGTGCTGCACCAAAACTCAACCATACAAGTATTCTTTAGCTAGTGCCCACATAATGCCTATCCAATGCATATCACTAGGATTCTACTACTTGTCATTGGCCTATATAATCACATACAAAGAAAGGTTTATCATAACAGCTCTCACCAAAACTTGAAATCATACAAAGCTTTCCTCTGCTTTCAAAGTCATTTTACAAGTTCTTTCCTTCCTTATTTGCTCATCTATATTGAACTAAACGACCATGGCTATCCGTATGCCTCGTATAATCAAGAAGTCTTCTACAAGTGGAGACGTTCCGAAAGGCCACTTTGCTGTTTATGTAGGGGAGAAGCAAAAGAAGAGGTTTGTGATCCCCATATCATTCTTGAGCCAACCTTTATTTCAAGACTTGCTTAGTCAAGCTGAGGAAGAATTTGGCTTTGATCATCCAATGGGCGGTGTCACAATTCCCTGTAGTGAGGATGTGTTCATTGATCTTACTTCTCGCTTGAATAGGATCTGAGGCCTTTCCTTTCACAATTTTGTAAAGAACTAACCTGGATTTCCAGTTTGTACATCAGAAGAGTTAGAAAAGACATCATATATATACCGCGTCTTAGAAAATTAGATAGAGGGGATTACTGTCAGATACAACAGTAGATCCCAATTCGAATTGTAATATTCACTAGTTTATGCAATGAAATCTTTTCATACACATTTTTATCCAATTTGGTTTGATAGTAATCTTGTTGAACAAAGTTCCTTGAATAACTCCATTTTCTTCATAACATGGGAACTGGAGCTTCTGAAGTACAAGTCTCAGATTATCCAAGACATCATTTTAGTATATGGCATTCCATTGGACATTTTCATTCTTTGCTCATTTAAAAACAAATCTCTGACTTGATTTATCAGAACTTCTCTCTATCGGCTGAGTAACTTGGGATACTTTATGGTCTGCTAAGTTGATTAAATAATCAGATTAGAGGATTTATGATATGAGGAACAAAAATTGTCTGTTATTGATGAAACCAAAAGGAAGATATAAAACCAGTGCGTCTTGATAAATATTACAATCCAACACCTTACCGTAAAGGTAATTCTATTTGTTTGCAAATTATGCTTCTGATTCTCTAAACTTCACATCTAATCATCTACGCAGCCATAACTTGCTTTGCTTTTAAAATCTATTTTCTCCCATATTTGCGAAAATGGGTTCCACTCTCTTGCCCTCAATATCGTCTCATTCATGTATTAAATGGTATTTACACTGAAATCAGGATAGCTTTTAAGTGTGTGTCCTTTACATAATGCAGCTACGATGTTCGATGAAATTACTGAGAAGAGCATTTCCTGTCAGGCTGCTCTGAAGCTAAGATGTGGATAGAGGCCTTGTACACGGGTAATTTTTTTTTCTCTTTCAGATTCTTTAAGCTCTTTATTGGGCTCTTTGAATTAGGTAGGCAGTTTCATGGATATGTTATTCGGAAAGTTCATGACATGAAACCTGATTTTTCTGTTTACAAATGGTTATTAGAAATGTATGACAAGGTTAGGCCTGTATACACTAAATTTACAGCAGTGATTAGTTTGTATTACCACAAGTAGAATCTGGGGAGGGTAGAGTGAAATTTGACCTTACCCTACCTCATGGAACTAGAGAGACCGCTTGGCTCAAGAAAAGGGCATAGGGATAGAAGGAGCCAAACCAGTTGGTGTGGCATTCTGTGTGCCATGTGGCCCATGTCAGCTTGTAGTCACGCTTGCCAAGTAAATAAAGTACTTTGATCCTTGTGTGTTGCGATTGCAGTTCCGTACCCAGTCCCGAGCACTATAGTTGTTCAATTGACTTATTTTATCAAGCCAGTGTATGGAAATTTGTTATCTCAAATTATAAGTACACCACAAAAAGGACACCGAAGGAAAAGTGATATGATCCTTCATGTGCTAGTGTCTTTCATAGACATCAATCAAATCATTTTTACCACATGTTATAGGAAGTTTCAAGGTACCATGATCAGGTACCATTCTCTTTCTTCACCTATATGATCTGGAATGAAGTGCTTCTCAATAACAAAACTGATTAGGTAGCTGACCAATTCTTGCCATCACGCTCTGGCTTTAGCCTTTGAGTGGCCTTCTGTATATACACACAAATAATTAATAAGTCGAACAGTATATGTCTATGTGATGATGGGATGGAACAGAAGTACAATTTACAATCTTAGTACCAATTCCCAAATTTCTTCATATAAATTCTTTTCAACCATTTAGGCACTTATGATTAATGATAATTCTCCCATATATTTCGGATCAAGTTATAGACCTCAGGTAAGAAACGCTTGGAATTGGAAATTATGGTCATTTTAAAAAAATATTTACAACAAAACTGCATTACCATTTACAAATTTTTCAGGGATGTGTATCTAGACATAAATAATAACATGGCACAACTCTTGTTTAGCAATTGATTTTGAGAGATACCTTGTCCCAAGCTCAAAAAGAAGGTAGATCCGTTGTCCTTGATCTAAGGCCTAATGATAACTTATGTTTCAAGTCTGAACAAAGCTAGGAAGCACTTAGCTTCTCTCACATCACTGCTGTTTCTGGATAGTAACTGATAAATTTTCATGTCTCCCAGTATGGTGCTTACTATAAATCAAACAGCAATATATGTCCAGAGTTACCTTTTATCCGAGTGGTCCACTCCAGGCATAACTAAGCTCCAGGTCATATCTTATTAAAAATTCTACGCCTTGTTCCAAGTTTCAAGTAAGGTAGGGCCTATTGCACTTGATTAATATTAAAATCTAATACTTGGAGGGAAAAAGCATGTGATACTTCAGTGACATTGTCTTCTGCTGGGCCCACAGATACCTATTCAACACATATTGTATGAGTTGCCATTGTCTATATAAACATATTCAAAGAGGTATCTACCACCACAGCTCTCAGCAAACTTGAAAGTATTCAAAGTATTCTCTGCTTTTGAGTTCAAGTATCATCTATAACTAAAAGATTATGGCTATTCTTGGAATGATCAAGAAGTCTTCCACAACTAAAGATGTTCCCAAGGGTCACTTTGTTGTATATGTCGGGGAGACGCAAAAGAAGAGATTTGTAGTCCCCATATCATTCCTGAATGAACCGTTATTTCAACACTTGCTTAGTCAAGTTGAGGAAGAATTTGGCTTCAACCATCCAATGGGTGGTGTGACTATTCCCTGCAGTGAGGATTTTTTCATTGATCTCACATCACGCTTGAGGAAGTAAAAAGGAAACCAGTCCCCATTTTTGCTCAATTTTGTATAGTTGTAAAGCAGGATTATCTCCACCCTGTACAGTTTCAGAGTTAGAAAATACACTAGGTAGAACATAGCGAATGGATGTCATTTGACTAAAGAATTTTTTCTACTTCAAAAAGAATTGAAGTACTGAACCGTTTCACTTCTATGGTTCCATTCTAGTCCATATATTGATGTAATGAATTCATTGCAATAGAAAATTTTTGGTCAACTCTCATGGTTTGCTAATCTGAATGAGCTAGAATCTGATCTTCGAAGGTGGCATAACCCATAATTGATGATATTATGGTCATGCCATCTTTAGTAAAATGATAGTTGGTAAACGTTAGTACATTACTATTCTCTACCATTTGGAAACGGTTCTCAGAATATGTTGAAATAACATGGATTATCCTAATCTGGAAAGTTGATCCAAATGGCTCAAGTATGAGGGACCAAACAAATAATTAGTCGGATAATTCAGTAAATTTATCTTCAATCGTACTGTTGTAGAAGTCCAACTCTCAAATAATCCATTTATGAATCAGATAACCAGTTGGAACTACCATTGTTATAAACAACAAGACATCTTTTATCAAGTGGTCCAGACCTGAGTCATTACAAGACAATCAGCAATTGTTTTCAATTTGATTTCTAAAGATCCTGTGTTCTCTATCTTGTAATGAAAAATAGTGGTGCCTGTTGATCTTCAGGCACAATGGCCTAAAACCATAAATGCTTGAGGATGAGTTGGACAACAGAGCCATGTGATACTTCTTGACTTATTGTGCTATTGTCAATCCATAGTGTTACAAATGCCTCTTCACCAGTGAACTCCTATAAGGTTGGCATGTCTTCTCTTATTCTTCTTAAATATATGGACACACAGTTTGCATATATTTTAGTCCTTGAAATCATCATATGGCACTGTTCCATATTTATGGATTTGATTCCGAGAGATCCTTTGTTCAATGTATGAGAAAAAAGTAGGACCTACTGTTCTTGAACTTAAATGAGCTAAAACAATTAACCATGTCAATAAGCTGGAAGACAGGACCATGTGGTAATTGATATGTCATTGTCCTTCACTGATGCCCAACCCAAATGGCTCTTCACCACAAATCGAGGAGATTTTTTGGCTTGCCCTTCTCTTATATAAACAATGTTTTGAGGAGTAGCCACAACCACTACAACTCACCCATAAAACTAGAGAACTACTCAAAGATTTCCCTTTCCTTTCAGAATTTTTAGTAATTCTTCTCTTCATCATTTGCTCATCTTAATTAAAATATCATGGCTATCCGTGTTCCTCGTATAATCAAGAAGTCCTCAACATCTTTGGATGTTCCCAAGGGCCATTTTGTTGTTTATGTCGGGGAGCAGCAGAAGAAGAGATTTGTGATACCGATATCATACTTGAGCCAGCCTTCATTTCAAGACTTGCTAAGTCAAGCAGAGGAAGAATTTGGCTTCAATCATCCAATGGGTGGTATCACAATTCCCTGCCGAGAGGACATCTTCATTGACATCACTTCTCAATTTAGGATTTAAGTAAATAATTGAGATCAATTTTCCTTTTTAGATCTCATAATTTTGTATACGAAAGTAGGAGATTCATTTTGTACAGTTTGTTAAATAGAAGCTTACCACCACAAAGATTGGTGCTTTTTGATTCACAAAGACTAATTCAAAGAACACAGATTCAACATTATCAATGTGCAAACTCTAACCCATTGTTTTATTTCATTTGCAAAGTATTCTTTGAAATTGTATGTGAGATAAGACTTTAATGTTGAGGCACTTGTGTAGAGTACCAGACATTTTTGAATTAATGTAGTTTGCTTCGTGCGAATTAATAACACTGAGATTATCTTATTTAAATAGTGCATTCCATGCTGAGTTCTAATGTCACTAAAATAGAGGATCAAATTATGTGTGATCAAACAGATTAAAATTACTAATCTAACTTGAAAAGGAAAAATGTTAGAGACAAAAAACAAAATCTGAAGTACATTCAATTTTATATTACAAAATGTGGTATATATATTTTGACCCCTCAATAAGTAATTACACTTGAAAACTCGCTGCTCATCTCACACTTATTCCTTTTAAAACCTAAATTTCTAGTTTCAACACCCCATTGCATGTTAGCAGCATCATTTGAATTCTTCCTTTTCTTCATGTTTACTTCTTCAACAGCTCGTGGAAACTCTTCTACCGTCCTACAAGACTCTGAAGAAGTAGTGCTATTAGACTGTAGGAATCTGTTTACTGTGGCTCTTAGAGTCAAATTAGGCAAGAGAGCATCAACAAGTATATTTGTAGCCCCACATACACAAACAGAGTTAGACATAATATAATTCCTTATGCATTTGTCGCAGAAACTACTAAAACAACATTTACTTGCTATAACTGCATCTTTCATTAATCCTTTACACAATGAGCAGTGAAGCTCTGGTGGTATAGCTGTATAGGAATGCTTTGAAGAAGATCCTTGAACCACCTTAGTATCAGCTGCCACATAAGGCCTCAAAACAGCAACACTTGCACTGGGTGGCTGCAGTTTCTTGATGTCATAATTGGGGTCACCATTTGTAGGGCAATGCTGAATGAAATGGCCAGGCACCTTGCATCGATGACACACATACCCTGGTCCTGGTGGTGGGTTTTTCCATTCCGTTCTACCTTGTCCAACACTAGAGCCAGCTGATCTTGTGTTATTATACGATATGTTTCCTACTGAATTCTTGATTATACTACTAGAACAACTGGACTCTGGACTGCCTAATTGAATTGGCACTGCTATTTTTGGAATTACATACACATCATCGCCAAAATCATTGTAATCAATATCTTGAGAATATTTGGACTCTTTTTTAACTGAATGAACCTCCTCCTGTTTACACAGCACTTGCTTGGGCTCCTCTTTGATTACAATGGGGAAGCAAGGTAATCCAGCAACGCGACGAATCAAAACACTTGTACTTCTTGGAATCAAGGTGGCATGATCAACATAATCTTCGTTAGTTTGTAGGTTGGTGAGAAGAATGTCGAAATCTTTACCCCAACCATAACGCTTGGATTCAAATATCTTTGATTTCAGATTGCCCACAGAAATAAAATGATCAAGAATTGGTATCGAATCATAATCCTTACAACTTTTATACTTGATATACACTGCCATAACTGAAATATTTTTGCTAGAAAAACAATAAGAAACAAAGTCAAGAATTTGGTTTCACAGAAACAGAGTTAGGAATTGCGTTTATATAGACTTTTTTCTTTTTAACTTCCGAAACACAGTTGGAATCTGAAAGGAAAAAAAAAGTTTCCTAAAACTGTAAATCCCATTTCCATACTTTCCTAAGCCAACTCAGAATCTGAAAAAAAGTTTCCAAAAATTGTAATCCCATTTCCATACAAACTTAGATTACCTTATTTTATACTTACAAAAATAATTTGATTTTAGAAATTTATAATTGTCGTTATTCTAATATATTTTAGAATAATTTTATCTTTTCAATATTTTTGAATTTATAAAAAATACATCATATTCAATTATTTATAAGTCTAATTATTAAATTTGGAAACCTGATTGGGTTATTATATTTTTAGGTATGGAATGTATTTTTGTTTGACCGTAATAATTTTGGTGATTTTGTGCACTCTTTTTAAATCATTGTTTTTTTTGCTTGACTGTATTTTATGAGCGTTTTCTTGTTTAATTATATTTTTGTGGTGGTGTACAAAATACAATGCATTCAATGAATAACTAAATTATTTGAGATAATAATTATAAACTGAGTATATATTAATTATATATTTTTATTGTACAAGAATTATACAGAAATATAAGTGTGAAAGATTATAATGGCTATGACGCGTATATGCATAAAAAGTGTATTTACATTGTATTTAATGCATATACATTATCTATAACACATTCAATGCTCGTATATACTATGTATATAAATTGTATAATGCATACATATAGTGCATATACAACTTATAACATTTATATAATTATAAAGTGATTGAAATATAATGTCCACATGCCAAGTAAAATTTTTCTGTCACAAACAATTCTCATTTTCTTTCTTTTGTATTTTTTTATCCCTTTCTCCGGGAGCACTCACTTTTATTTTTTAATTGAAAGATGCTTATTATCGGAGCAAATTTCTCATTCTTAAAAAGTTATAGATAGAGCTTGAGAGTGCTAGGCTAGAGGTGGTTAAGTCTACTTTTTGTTTATTTAATTTGTAGTGTGTGATTTAGATGAGATTCTTTTATCAAGCACAAAATTAATTATAGATGATCAAACAAAAAATTGTTAATTCTTTAAAATAATATGAAAACCTCACAATGCTTGTTGAGTTGATAAAATTTACAATTCTTTAGTTTTGCTTGAAAATCAAATGGAACTCAAAGCCAGCAAAACACAAAAGAGATCAGCTCCATATCAAATAATTTGGCCTAGAAGCCAATTGTTTACTTTTACCATAAATTATTTCTATTAACTTTAATACTTCCTCAATTTTAATTGATTCAATTGTTGAGATATTTTTTATTTTTTAAATTAATTTAATTATTTGATTGTCAAGATTATTTTTTAAAATTTCAATTTTATCTCTCATTAGTACTTATTGAAATTAGTTATTAATTAATGTTTATAGTCATAAATTTAATAATAATTAATAAGAATAAAGATAAAAAGTTATGTCTAATTTATTCTTAATTTTGTTTTCTTAAACGATCTGAAACGTCTCAAGAATTCAATTAATTTGAAATGTGAAAATATTAAATAACTATATAAAATAATAGTAATAGTCAAATTTTAAATTTTAAGCATCCTCAAGAAAAAATATACCATATTAATATAGGCCAAATAATATAAAACAAAAAAATATTTTTTTGTATATGCGTCAAACACACCGAAAAAAAAAAATCTATTTATTTCCTAATTTTTTTCTTCTTCTAAAAAGGCAGTTTTTTATTGTGCCAAACGCACATTACATAAACTCATTTTCCATATTTTGAAAATTATAAGATATGATTATTTAAATTTTACATTAATATTGTAGTAGTAAAAATTAAATATGGATATAATTTTTTTTAAAATAAGTGGCTGCCTCGAAGTTGACAAAATAGTCTGCGTCGAAATTTTCAAAAAAATTAAAGGCGCCGTGTTAATAGGGCGCTTTGTGCAGATTTTGAAATAAACCCTAGACTGCTCTTCGCCGCTCAATCTTCTTATCTCATCTTCAATCCTCTCCATTGTACCCAAAAGCAAAACTCACCACAAAAATCGTTTAGCCAAACGCCATACACAATGGCCAAAAAGAAGACGACCCCGCAAGATAATCAACCCCAAAACCCCACTGAAGTGGTTAAGGAAAATCAGGTGAAAGAAAACAATCATTCCATTGCCATGGAAGAAGCTTCTGAGAAACTTGAGAATCTCAAGAACCTCAACAGTATGCTTCTCAAGGAGACTATTGAGAAACGGCAACAGGTGGATTCGCTAGTGCAGGCAAAAGGATGTCTGGAATCGGAACTCAAAAGGTCTAACTCGGAGAAAAGCGAGTTGCAGACTGAGTTGACTCAGTTGAGTGAACAGGTTGTTCGGCTGGAGATTGAGAAGAAATTGGTGTCTGTGTTTGTTGCTGTGCAGATTGGTTACCATGCTGAGGTGATTGAGAGTGAGAGGAATGGGTTTCGTGAACAGAATGACGTGGTTGAGAAGAAGCTGAAGAGTGTAGAGGTAGAAATGCGTGATGTTTTGAGAGAGAAGGGTGAGATTGAGAAGCTGTTGACTGAAAAGGAGAGTGAGATTGAAAACCTAAGGAAGCAATTGAATGCTGTTGCTGATGAGGTTGCACACGAGAGGAATGTTTTGGAGGGGATTCGTAAGGAGAAGGATGAAATAAAAATGAAGCTTGACGCCCAAATAGAGGAAGCAGATGGATTGAGGGTGAGGTTGGTTGAAACTGAGAAGCGAGAGAAGGAGATTGAAGGAGAAGTTGGGAAATTAAGGGTTGAATACGATGCTCTCACTGAGAAAATCAAGGACAGAGAAAGCAAGATCCAATCCATGGTGAGAGAGAAGGAATTGGTCGCAAATAGCCTTTTGGGTTCAAATAAAGTGATTGAAGAACTAAGGGGGCAGATTGATGGGATTGTTAGGGAAAAAGAAGGGATTGAAGTGGAGAGAAATGCGGAAATGAAAAAGAATGGTGAATTGCAAAACACAGTAGCTGGTCTTGACGATATGGTGCTGAGTTTGCAAAAGGAAGAGGCAAAATTGCGTGAAAATTTGGCTGGGTTAGAGAAGAAGTGTTTGGAAGGCTTAAGAAAGGAAGAGGAGATGGAGAAGAGGATAAATGAACTTGTGAAGGGAAACAATGAGAAGGACATCAGAGTTGAGAACTTGATTGAAGAAAAGGCCTTGGTTGAGAAGGAACTAGACAAGGCATTGAAGCAATTAGACGTAGAGAAGAAGAAGGTTGAGCAAACGGTTACAGCAAAGAATGAGATGGAAGAGGCTAAAGTTGGAAGGGAGACTGAAATTGTTGAACTGCAGAAACAATTAGCTGAATTCAAGAATTCTATATCTGAATTAGAGGTGTCTTGCAATGGTCAAAACGAGAAGGTGAAGAATTTGGAATCTGAAGTTGGTAAGTATAAGGCTGCCTTCGGGCGAGTTACCCTTGAGAAGGATGAGAGGCAAAAGCGATTTGTCGATGAGGAACAGAATGGCATAAACATGAAGAAACAGATTGAAGAAATGGAGGATCACATTCAAAAAATTGTGAAGGAGGTTGAGCAAACCAAGGCTGATTACCTCAATGCTGTTAGAGAAAAGAAAGAGTTGGAAACTCAATGTCAAGTGTTGAACAAGGAAATTGCTTTTGCGCAAACCTCACTTGGCGAAACAGAGAAGAAAATTAGTGATATGCAGTGCAAGGTTGAGTTGGCAAACAGCAATTCTGAGGAAATCTTGAATGCTTTGAGGACTGCTGCAGGTTCAATCCGCTCGGATGGTGAAGGTGAAAGTGGCAGTGTGGTTGGTGAAAAACAAATGAATGGGGAAGATGTCAAGCCTTATGAAGCAGAGTTGGAGGCCATAACAAATGCAATCAAGAGTAAAGAGAACAAAGTTGAGGAGATGCAGAGGCAGGTTGAGTTTTTGCAGTTTTCAGTAGCTCAAGCACAAAACAAGAAGAATTTCTGGACCATGTTATCTTCAGCAACAACACTTTTTGCTGCAATTTCTCTTGCTTATGTTGCTCGTGGCCATTGAGTAAGGGAGTCCTTAGTATTATCCAAACTGGTAATGACAAGTCCGAAGAAATGACTTGAGTTTTGTTCTTATAGTTTACCTTTAAGAAAGGCACATGATGCTACTGGTATCATGGCCTAGGCTTGACAATCTGACTGTTGTTAGCTTGTTTCAACATCATATGTAACCATTATGACCCTTCTTTTCATCATTCCGTATGAAATAATATCAAGTCCCTTTAGTTTCCAGAAAAGATACTAGAAAGTCTCTATGTTTTCAATAGGCATAACTCATAAATATGATCCTTAACTTAGTGTGAATTAACAACTATGACCTTTAATTTTGGGTAAGCACAAATAGACACTTAAACTTGTATAAAATTGAGTAAATGAACACATTCGTCCTACGTGACAACCTACATGACAATTTTGTATTCTACATGGCATCCTACGTGTAATATGCCATGTAGGACACTTCTGTTTACTTGTTCAATTTTATAATAGTTTAAGTGTCTGCATGTGCACATTCAAAGTTGAAGGACGTACTTGTTTATTGACGCCAAATTAAGGCTCATGTTTGTATATTATGCTTCTTCAATAACAACTAAGAAAAAGTATGCCTCAGTTGAAAGATTGTAATCCATGTCAACAGCACTTTTTTGCTGCAGTTGTCAAAGATATGAATGAATTTGAATTTTTCTAATTCAAAAGATCAAGTATTGACCTTTTTTCACTTTATAGTTCCATTCAGCTAGCGTTTGTATTTTTCCTACTTGTGATTCCATATGCTCAAGTACTGTGTTTTTCTAGTTTTCTCCGTACGAAGATCGAAAGATCTTTGCTTTCTCAACTCCCAAACACTAGTTAACATCGTGCTCGAATGAAATTCAGATTTTTATGTCAGAGGTGGATATATGTAGTTAATCCAACTAATAAAGGGAGAAGAAACCATCTTCATCTGGAGTAGCTGTACTATATCATTGTTAAACCCACCTGAAGACCAAGTTCCAGTAATTCACAACCTTTTCAGTCTAATCACTTACAGCTGATGTGCACCTGAGACTCTGTTCTCTCTTCTTTTTTTTTGGTTCTTATTTAATAAGTACTTGGTAATTTTTTCAGGATATGAGATCTCATTTCATATGCCTTGTGATTTTCCCCTGGTTCATATTCTGATGTTTTTTGTGATCAGGTCGCATTTCTAGAGAGCTATTTTAAAGTTATTCTGCACTTACTGCTTGGAAATATATGGCTTTAAGGTTAGTTATCTTTAGAATAAATGTAGGTTAGTCTGAGCCATCAGTTTACAAGGCCTTGCATCTCACTTCTATAATGCTGGCTAGAATATGATTTTACATAAACATTTACTAAACAATTTTTGCGAGGTTCTTAATATTCTTAATGCTTCAATTCCTAGCTTCTCTTATGCTTTTTAAAATAAGAATCAAAAAGGTTCCTGCCTCTGAAGAGAAGTTTTGAGTTATATATAGATTCGCTGCTGTCTCTCAGCACTTCCAAGCGGACATTCACCTATGAAATTTTGTCTAGCTTCTATTTTTCTTTAATGATGATTGTGTAGTCCCCATTTTCCGGAGGTGCTTTCTTATGATTCATCAACTGTTACAGTGGTAATTTCAAGGTATGTCTCAGGATTCATACAACTGTTACAGTGCTAATTTCGAGATCTATCTCAGGTTATGTTTTATCCAAGAGGTCAATAACTTGGTCTTTCTCCTCACCTTAATTTAGAGTCTTTTCCTCTATATGCAGTCATGAAAGTCATACAATGCTTCATATGCAACCAAAATGGTCTTAAATTATAAGCACTGACATAGAAGGCAAGGTCATATGATGCTTCATGTGCTACTGTCTTTAATATTGTTATTAATCAAATGCCTTTTCACCAGCTATTATTAGGATGTTTTTGAGTACAATAATCAGGTACTGTCTATGAAACAGAATGCTTCTCAAAATCACCAAATAAATAGTGCTAAGTAGACACTGGTTATTTTTTTTCTTCATTAACTAGAAACATTGCAGGACCAATGACCTTTGAACAACAACTGTGCCTTTGTTGTGAAAATCAGTGGGGCCTTTTGCTACTAGCTCAATGTATGAATTGTGTGTATGACAATGAGTTGGAAGGCAAATCCATGTGATACTTTAGGTGCTATTGTCTTTAGCTGGTGGTCCACAGACCTATCCAGTGCACATCAATTGGATTCTACATCTTGTTGTTCGCCTATATAAACACTTACAGAGAAGGATTTACCGTAACAACTCTTAGCAAAACTTGAAACATATACGGCTTTTCTCTGCTTTCAAGGTCCATACTAATTCTTCCCTTATTTTCTATCTAGATTGAACGTAACAACCATGGCTATCTGCATGCCTCGTATTATCAAGAAGTCTTCTACAGGTGGAGATGTTCCCAAGGGCCATTTTGTTGTATATATTGGGGAAGAAGAGATTTGTAATCCCTATATCATTTTGAGCCAACCTTTATTTCAAGACTTGCTTAGTCAAGCTGAGGAAGAATTTGGCTTTGATCATCTAATGGGCGGTGTCACAATTCCCTGCAGTGAGGATTTTTTTTGTTGATCTCACATCTCGCTGACTAGGAAACCAGTCCCTTTTTTTTTCTTACACAATTTTGTAAAGCTGTAAAGCAGGATCACAGTGTACAGTTCAATATTTAGAGGAAACACTAGTTAGGCTAATGAGTTTAGCACATAAAGAATGGATGTCACTCTGGACACATTTTTCTACTTCAAAAGAAATTGCAGTGATATACCTCTTTACTTCTATGGTTTTATTCTATTCCATGTACCGTTGTACCCAATTCATTGCAATACAAAAGTTTTGGTCAACTCTCATTGTTTGCTGATCAAATGAGCTGAAATCTGGTCTTCTAAAGTGGGCATAACCCATTCAATTGGTGACATTATGGTCAATAGGCTCTACCAAATTAGCAATATAATAATTACTCCTTGTGGTTTCAAATGAACTTAACATGTACTAGAGCTCTCCTGGATTGTGGAAACACTCGGTGCAATTGAAAATGGATACAAATTATTAAATCTTAATAAGATATGATATCTACACTTACCTTGAATATTAACTCAAATTTCTGGCAATAATAAGGTTGTGACTGACTCATAATTCAACGGATATTCGAATAACATAGACACATACATGTTAGCCATTAAACATTTGTATCAGTTTGTATCAATTTTGATTTCTGTCTAGTATTTTGAAGCAGTTGGGCCTGCTGTTCTTCAGGCACAATGGCCTAAAATCATAAATACTTGACAATGAGTTGGACAACAAAGCCATGTGATACTTCATCTGCTATTGTCTATCAACAGTGTAAAAAATGCCTCTTTACCAGTGAATTTTTTATCTGAGGTATGTTATAGTCCTATGGATTTGATTCTGAGAGATCCTTTGTTCCATGTAGGAGAAAAAGGTAGGACCTAATATTCTTGAACTTATATGAGCTTAAGCAATTAATCTTGTCAATTAGTTGAAAGACAGAATCATGTGGTAATTGATATGTCATTGTCTTAACAAATGCCTTGCTCAAATGGCTCTTGTCATGAGATTTTATGACTTGCCAAAGGCTTATATAAACATGTTTTGAGAAGTCTGTAGTCAGCACCACAGCTACTCAAAGCTTTTCCTGTGCTTTTTCAGAATATTTAGTACTTCTTCTCTTCATCATTTGCTTAAAAGAGCATGGCTATCCGTATGCCTCGTATAATCAAGAAGTCTTCTACAACTAGAGATGTTTCAAAAGGCCACTTTGCTGTTTATGTAGGGGAAAAGCAGAAAAAGAGATTTGTTATCCCCGTATCATTCTTGAGTTAACCTCTATTTCAAGACTTGCTTAGTCAAGCTGAGGAAGAATTTGGCTTTGATCACCCAATGGGTGGTGTCACAATTCCCTGTAGCGAGGATGTGTTCATTGGTCGCTTGAATAGGATCTGAGGCTTTTCCTTTCACAGTTTTGTAAAGAACAAGATTTACAGTATGTACATATGAGAATTAGGAAATACACATTATTTACTGAAAATTATGATGTCTAAAAGATATACAACACAATCTTTAACAAATGAAATTTGTTCTTTAGCCAATTTTAGTTTTCAGTTTTCTTGTTGAAATATTTTGTCTACGTGGTGTGTCCTACATAACTATTTTCTGTCTTATTAATTGTCTTGCGTGTATTATGTCATGTAAAATATGTGTGTATTTGTTCAATTTTAATGTCTATTTGTGTGCATTTAAAAATAGAGAATATAAATGCTAGCTTAAATCAAGTTAAATGAAATATTTAGCACCAACAGGAGTCGGTACTTGTGAATAGGAGAACATTCTTTATTGCAAGATGTTCGTCTACCCGCCGCCTTCGGTCAACTCAAACAATGTCGTAGTATGAAAAAAAGGAAAATCCTTCATCTTATTTGATCTTTTAAGCTCTTTCGTTCAATAAAATGGAGGTAATTGTAATTAACTCAAATTTCAATTGCTATATAACACATTATTTTGAATAAGGAAACAGCAAGGAAGATAGGATTCAAAACGTATTTTTTTTGTTTGTGAAAATAAAATAATGTCGACACTCTAATAATACCTTTTATTCTTGTGGAGGAGGAAAAGTAATTTGTAACTCTACAAAGTCAAGTTTTAATAGTCAAATTGAGTTCTCTGTCATCTCTCTTTGTAAATTAACTCCGTCGGCGACGCCGCAAGTCTACCGGAAGATTTCTTCAGGAGCTATTCGTCTGAAGGATGGGAGCCGACATCGCAGAAAGCGAGTTGAAGAAATTGGAATACCTCTCGCTAATTTCTAAGGTATGTTCCGAGTTGGAGGCACATTTAGGGTTTGGTGATAAGGTTTTAGCTGAATTTATAACTGAACTTGGTAGAAGTTGCTTAACAGTAGATGAATTTGATGACAAATTGAAAGAAAGTGGTGCTGAAATGCCCGACTATTTCGTAAGAACGTTGCTCACTATAATCCATGCTATTTTGCCTCCTAGTGCCAAGTCCAAGTCGGAGAAGGAGTCGAACAAGGATGGCAATGATTCCGAGTTTTCAGCTCTGAAGATCAGAGATAATAGGGATAGGGTTAAGGAGTTGGAGAAGGAGATTGAATTGGAGGCTAGGAGTAAGAGGAGAGATGAAAAGGGAGAAGAACGGGATAGGAGGCGAGAGGGGGATAGAGATTATAGAAGAGAAAGGGGTAGAGACAGGAGGGATAGGGATAGGGGTAGGGATCGAGATAGAGATGATGGTAGAGTTGAACGCAGGGCTTCAGAAAGGCGCAGAGACAGGGATGGAGATGGAGATGTATATGCAAAGGGTAGTAGAGATGATTATGAGCAAGACGGGGATGATGATCGGAGGGATAGGAGAAAATCGAGGCATCATGTGGATGAGCCAGAGTTGTATGCAGTATATAAGGGGAGGGTATCAAGGGTGATGGATTCTGGTTGTTTTGTTCAGCTGAATGAATTTAGAGGGAAAGAAGGCTTGGTGCATGTTTCACAACTTGCTACTAGAAGGGTTAGTAATGCCAAAGATTTGGTAAAACGGGACCAGGACGTTTTTGTGAAGGTTATCTCTATTAGTGGGCAGAAGCTGAGTTTGTCAATGAGAGATGTTGATCAGAATACAGGAAAGGATCTGCTTCCATTGAAGAAGAGCTCTGACGGTGGTGGATTGACAACAAATCCTTCAGGCATGAATAATGAGGGCTCTAAGACCGGAATTGGCCTGTCAGGAATTAGGATTGCGGAGCAAGAGGATGTAGTTCCATCACGTAGACCGGTGAAGAGAATGAGTTCACCTGAAAAGTGGGAAGCGAAACAACTTATTGCTGCAGGTGTCCTGGGGGTCCATGAACATCCCATGTTTGATGAAGAAGGGGATGGAATGCTATATCAGGAAGAAGATGGTGTTGATGAAGAGCTTGAGGTTGAATTGAATGAAGATGAACCCCCTTTCTTGCAAGGGCAGAGTCGTTATTCAGTTGATATGTCTCCTGTCAAAATTTTTAAAAATCCTGAAGGATCATTGAGTCGTGCTGCTGCACTACAATCAGCTTTGATAAAGGAGAGAAGGGAAGTAAGGGAGCAGCAACAGAGAACGATGCTTGATTCTATCCCAAAGGATCTCAACAGACCATGGGAAGACCCAATGCCGGAGACAGGTGAGAGGCATTTGGCTCAGGAACTGAGGGGTGTTGGTTTGTCTGCCTATGACATGCCAGAATGGAAAAAAGATGCTTATGGTAAAGCCGTGACCTTTGGCCAGAGGTCTAAGCTATCCCTCCAGGAGCAGAGGCAGAGTCTTCCTATTTACAAATTGAAGAAAGAACTGGTTCAGGCTGTCCATGATAATCAGGTCCTGGTCGTCATTGGTGAAACAGGTTCTGGCAAGACAACACAGGTGACACAGTATCTAGCCGAGGCAGGGTATACAACGAGGGGAAAAATTGGCTGTACTCAACCTCGTCGAGTGGCTGCAACATCTGTGGCAAAGAGAGTTGCTGAGGAGTTTGGTTGTCGATTAGGTGAGGAGGTCGGTTATGCTATTCGTTTTGAAGATTGTACTGGGCCAGAAACTGTTATCAAATATATGACTGATGGTATGCTTTGGAGGGAGATCCTGATTGATGATAATTTGTCCCAGTACTCAGTCATAATGCTTGATGAAGCACATGAAAGAACAATTAACACTGATGTTCTCTTTGGTTTGCTTAAGCAGCTTATGAAGAGAAGACCTGACCTTCGTCTAATTGTCACGTCTGCAACTTTGGATGCAGAGAAATTTTCTGGTTATTTCTTTGACTGCAACATCTTTACAATCCCAGGAAGAACTTTTCCAGTTGAGATACTCTACACAAAGCAGCCAGAAAGTGATTACCTTGATGCGTCTTTAATTACTGTTATGCAGATCCACTTGACAGAACCTGAAGGTGATATCCTCCTCTTCTTGACTGGTCAAGAGGAGATTGATTATGCTTGCCAATGTCTCTATGAGAGGATGAAAGGACTAGGTAAAAATGTTCCTGAACTGATCATACTACCTGTCTATAGTGCCTTGCCCAGTGAAATGCAGTCCAGAATTTTTGATCCTGCCCCTCCTGGGAAAAGAAAAGTTGTTGTTGCTACAAATATTGCTGAAGCATCTTTGACAATTGACGGTATATTCTATGTTATTGATCCTGGATTTGCAAAGCAAAATGTCTACAATCCAAAACAGGGTCTTGATTCACTTGTTATTACCCCAATTTCACAAGCATCGGCAAAGCAACGAGCAGGGCGTGCTGGACGTACTGGACCTGGGAAGTGCTATCGTCTGTATACTGAGAGTGCATTCCATAGTGAAATGTCTCCTACTGCAGTTCCAGAAATCCAGAGGATAAATCTTGGGAACACCGTTATTATGATGAAAGCAATGGGTATTAATGATCTTTTGTCATTTGATTTCATGGACCCACCTACCCCTCAGGCTCTCATATCTGCCATGGAGCAACTTTACACTCTTGGAGCACTGGATGAAGAGGGGCTTCTGACGAAACTGGGAAGAAAAATGGCAGAATTCCCATTAGATCCTCCTTTGTCCAAGATGCTTCTTGCTAGTGTGGACTTCGGTTGTAGTGATGAGATCTTGACCATCATTGCTATGATTCAAACTGGAAACGTCTTTTACCGACCAAGGGAAAAACAAGCTCAGGCCGATCAGAAAAAGGCCAAATTTTTTCAGCCTGAGGGTGATCATCTTACCTTGTTTGCTGTTTACGAGGCTTGGAAAGCGAAAAACTTTTCAGGTCCATGGTGTTTTGAAAATTTTGTTCAGTCACGATCACTTAGGAGGGCACAGGATGTCAGAAAACAGTTGCTCTCCATCATGGACAAGTATAAATTGGATGTTGTGAGTGCCGGAAGGAACTTCACAAAGATCCAGAAGGCTATTGGAGCAGGTTTCTTTTTTCATGCTGCTAGAAAGGATCCTCAAGAGGGTTATAGAACTTTAGTTGAGAACCAGCCAGTTTACATCCATCCTAGCAGTGCTCTTTTCCAAAGACAGCCGGACTGGGTTATTTATCACGAGCTTGTTATGACAACAAAGGAGTACATGCGTGAGGTGACCGTGGTAGATCCTAAATGGCTTGTTGAGTTGGCACCAAGATTCTTCAAGACGGCTGACCCAACAAAATTAACGAAGCGCAAGAGACAGGAACGTATTGAACCTCTTTATGATAGATATAATGAGCCAAATTCATGGCGATTGAGTAAACGCCGAGCATGATATCCTTTTTTTTTAGAATGTTTTGTGTTTGTTTAATGAAATACCCACTGTTTGTTTATGTAAAAGTGACACATGTATGGTCTATCTAAAACATAACTTTTGACACTTGAAGCACTTCTTTCAGATAAGGCTTTTCCCCATTTGACCTATTACAGTTTTCTCTGAAGTGGACTCAAAATTGTTTTAACCTCTCTGTTGTATGCTTTTTGCTAGGGAAGTAATCTCTGGTATTGAACTGCAATTTTTTTTTCATGTTCGAAGTATTGAATGGTTAAGCTTGACTACTTAAGTGCCTTTTGAGTAGAATCAAGTTTAAAGTGGTCCAAACTGGTGTCAATTTCAGGTCAGTCAAAGGATGAGTAGAATTAATATTTTTTATATGGAACTGTACTGCTGTTAGCATTCTATGGTTACTCTAGCTCAATTGTACAAGAGCTGCAGCTTTTTGGGAAGCAAAAAGTCTGACTGACTGTAATAGTAAAACTAAATGTTGTGATATACTAATATATATGTTACGTAGATCCTTCTGCCGTTTTGATTTGCCTAAATGAAAAGCTCCATGTTCCCATACCAGATAGGTACACACACCTGTATTGAAATTTTCCTGCAAACAAGTCCTTGTGAGTTCTAACATAATATAAATGCTACATCTTCGGCCTCTAAAGGTGAAACAACTCTTTGTTTACTAAAAAATCCCAAATCACGAAAAAAAAAATGTGCACAAATGCATTCCTGATTGGTAGGTTGTGATTTCCATCTTTTTCAAGGAAATGCATACCGGAAAACCATGTAATTGACAAGAAATGTCTGGGAGTATATGTAGACATGAATAGTCACAACTAGGCTATATTTCATCTTTAGCATTTAGATTGTGATGCATGCTATGTTCCAACTAAAGATAAAATGTAGGGCCTTATGTGTTGATCTGATATGTTCTAAAGGTATCAATACTTTGACAATTTGGTGGAAGACAAAACCATGTTACTTCAGATGCTATTGTCTTCTGTGGGTGCCCATGAAATAACTCTTCACTATCAACTGGATTCTCTGAGTTTGCATTTGGCCTATATAATCACATCCAAAGAGGTGTCTACCACCACAGCTCTCAACAAAACTTGAACGTATTCAAAGCTTTTTCTGATTTTGAGGTCTTACTTGCTAATTGTTTTTTCCCTTCTTTTGCTCATCTATACTAAAACCAAAAGATCATGTCTATTCACATGCCTCGTTTAATCAAGAAATCTGTTATATCTGGAGATGTTCCCAAAGGCCATTTTGTTGTATATGTAGGGGAGAATCATAAGAAGAGATATGTGATCCCGATGTCATTCTTGAGCCAACGTTTATTCCAAGAGTTGCTCAGTCAAGCTGAGGAGAATTTGGCTTTGATCATCCAATGGGTGGTCTCACAATTCCCTGCAGAGAGGACGCGTTCATCAACCTTACTTCTCGTTTAAGGAACTGAAAAAGAAAACTTTCTTAACAGTCTGTAGAGTAGTAAAGCAGGATACACAATCTGTATAGAGAATACAATTTTGATGTTAGACTAGGTAGACTTAGTGAAACTTTAACTCCACAAAGACTGATTGTTAGTACATGTCAAAAGGACAAATGACATATTTGTTTCTACTACAAGTTCTTTGAAATTTTGAATTAATGATGGTTCTATTCGGTTAATATTTAATTTTTTTGTCCTTGTAATTCTCTAATCCTCTCATTGAATATTGGTTTTGAAGTTTAATGTGTTGCTAATCATAATGAGCCAAAATCAACTTTAAAATGGCCCAAACTGGTCACATTTTCAGGTTAGTTAAAGATGTGCAGAATTTAAATTTTATATGGAACTATGCTGCTGTTAGCATGCTATGGTTACTCTAGCTCAAATGTACAAGCGCTAAAGCTTTTGGCAAGCCAAAGTCCAACTGAGTGTAATAGAGAAACAAATGATGTGATAAAGTGTATGGTACAGAGATCCTTCATCCGAGTTGATTTACCTAGATCAATAGGCGTGCCATAGAAAGGTATTGTTACTTAATGAGGATTCTTCAAAATTCTTTTGAAATTAACAAAGAACTGCATGCTGCCATGCTGGTTAATTACACTCACTTGTATTGGAATGCTCCTGCAAACAAGTCTTTGTAACTTAATTTAAAAGCTACATGTTCAGCCTTGAACTAAAAATCTGCACGAATGCATTTCTGATGGTCTTCATCTGGAGTACTTCCTTAATGTGAAAGCTTTTGTGTCCTATGACCTAACAGAAGACTCACATCTAGCTCGAACATTGTTCTTCGTTGTTCTTATTGACCGAAATTTCAGAATTTTCTGTCAGAATGTAAGATAATGATACTATTTTCATATGCAGGACACATGATTCCTATGGTTCATGTTATTATGTTTAGAGTTTATCAAATTCTCATATCTACATAGCTACTTACAGAATCAGTTTTCACTTGAGGAGCCCCTGTTGGCTGCAACACAAATTAACAGTATCCACAGGCCAAGCTGTCATCATTGACTTGTCTGGTATTTCTGAAACCTCCACTAATTTTTTTTATCCAAGTTGTAAGATTAGACACATATTTTGGATTAAATTCAGGATCAGGTTAAGAAGCATCTGGACATCCCATTTCCATTGTTCTGTTGGTATGTAGTGATGGATAATCCATATATTTTTTTCGAATAAATAATTCCTGGAACGCAACCTTAAAGGTAGGCCTGTTGTCTTGAGTTGATGTGACCTAAGTCACAAATACTTTGGGAATGAGTTGAAAGGCAAAACCATGTTACTTCAGGTGCTGTTGTCTTCCATGGTACCCACAGAATAGTGATTAACAGGACTCTCTTAGTTGCCATTGATCTATATAAACACTTTCAAGAAGGTGTGTACCACCACAACACTCAGCAAACTTGAAAGTATCCAAAGCTTTCTCTGCTTCTGAGGTCTTCAGTATTTTATTCTTTCTTTCTCATCTATACTAAAGCTAAATATAATTGCTATCCGTATGCCTCGTATAATCAAGAAATCTGGAGATGTTCCCAAGGGATATCTTGCTGTGTATGTTGGGGAGGAGCAGAAGAAGAGATTTGTTATCCCCATATCATTCTTGAGCCAACCTTTATTTCAAGACTTGCTCAGTCAAGCTGAGGATGAATTTGGTTTTGATCATCCAATGGGCGGTCTCACCATACCCTGCAGAGAGGACATCTTCATTGACCTTATTTCTCATTTGAGAAACTGATGAAAAGACTTTCTTTCACATTTTTGTAGAGCAGCAAAGCAGGATTTGCAGTCTGTACACTTAGGATTTAGAGAAAACAGTAGTTGATTTTAGAATGACAGTTGTTACTAAAGTCTGACTAGGTAGATTAGTGAACTTATCTCTGTAAAGGCTGATTGTTATTCATGTCATGTCAAAGGGATGAATAACACTTCATTTTTTTCTACTTAAAAGATATCGAAGTATTGAATCTTTATCACTTTATTGTTCCATTCAGTTTGCGTTGATACTTCTCCTTAAGATTCCATATGCTCATTTCCTGTGGTTTGCTAATGATTACGGACCAGAATCAAACTTGACCACAATCAGTCACACTGTTGTGTTAGTCAAATGATAAGTTCACCTGGAATTGTACATAGAAACTAAGCTAGAGTTGAAAAAAAAATAATAATAACGCAATCATGGTTGCTCTATGGCGTCTTATTTTAATGGGAAGCTAGGATCTTTGCTTACAAAAGGATGATTCTATTTATTCAAGTTAATTACCCTTCATATGGAGTAGTAATGTACTTTATCAATGTTTTAACCCACCAAACTAGAGGATGTTCCACTAATTAGCTAGTGTTTTAGTCTAATATCCTTACAGCAGATGCACATCTGAGCTCTTCTTTTCTTTCTTTTTCTTTGTTCTTATTTAACCAAAAGTTGAGAATTTCCTGTCAGGATAGAAAATTGTGTGTCATATGTCTCATATCTAGAGAGCTATTTTAACGTCATTTTTCACTTAAGGACCTAGTGGCAGGCTGTTATACGAGCTAACTTAGCAGTGTCTACATGCCAAGCTGTCAGCATTATTTGATATGCTTGGAATCATAAGGCTTCAGAATTTGCTATGTTCAGATATATTGAGCATTTTATTGTAAGTGATAGGGCCTGTAGTCCTTGAACTAAGGCCTAATGTTAATTTGGTTTTTTAAGTATCGACAAAGGTAGGCCTCTCCCATGTTACGTTTTGTTTGTGATAATAAGAGATGACATTTTGTGTTTCCAGAGTTCGTTTTTTATCCTAGTGATTCAGGCAAAGTAAGCTCTAGGATAGGTATCTTATTGAAAAATTCCAAAATGAAGGATGCTTGCTCAAGTTGATTGCAGTGGTAGGGACTGTTGTTCTTGAACTAACAGTGTCTTAATTTAATTCACCTGGAAGGCAAAAGCATGTGATACTTAAGTGACATTGTCTTCCTCTGGTGCCCACAAATTTATTTTCAACACATTTCAGGATTCTATGAGTTGTCATTGCCTATTTAAACACATTCAAAGAGGTATATACCACCACAACTCTCAGCAAAACTTGATAGTATTCGAAGCTTTCTTTGCTCTTGAGGTCTTTGATACATATTCTTTCTTTGTTTTCTCATCTATATTAAAACTAAAAGATCATGGCTATCCGTATGCCTCGAATAATCAAGAAGTCTTCAGATATTCCCAAGGGTCACTTTGTTGTGTATGTTGGAGAGAAACAGAAGAAGAGATTTGTGATTCCGATATCATTCTTGAGTGAACCTTTATTTCAAGATTTGCTTAATCAAGCTGAGGAGGAATTCGGCTTTGATCATCCAATGGGTGGTGTCACAATTCCCTGCACTGAGGATTTGTTTGTCAATCTTACATCTCGCTTGAGGAAGTGAGATGAAAACCAATCCCCATTCTTTTGCTTACACAATTTTGTAACTACGTAAAGCAGGATTTTCAGTGTACAGTTCAGGAGTTAGAAGAAATAGTAACTTGACGTTAGAATTAGGGGAGTCTAACTAGTTAGACTAATGAATTTAGCTCCATAAAAGAATGTAGATGTAATACTGTCTCTTGATTAAGTTGACACTTTTCTACTTCAAAAGAAATTAAAGCAATTATATTTTTTTTACTTCTATGGTTCCATTCAATTCCTCAATAACTCATTGCAATATAAAAATTCTGTATACAAATACAATGAGCTTGTTGATCGGTTTTCTTTGTTCTTATCTGATCCAAGATCTTAAGTATTTCCACTCCTGATTAAAATGTGTAAGTTAATTTACTTATGATAAGATATGGCATCTGTACTTCTCTTGAATATTGAACACAGATATCTGGCAATAACAAGATTATGAGTTATAATAAAGGAAATTTGGAAATTGTAGCCTTCTGTATTCTCTGTTATTTGGGAACATTTTCTCTGCTGAGATAATTCGAGTAATTATTATCTAGCTAGTTGATCCTGCATGATGACTTAGCATGAGGGACCAAACAACTTTGTCAGATATTGCTGTAAATTTGTTTCTAATTGTAGAGTTTATTGAATTACAAGACAATTAGAAATGGTTATAATTTGATCAAAGATCATGTGTTAGACAATTACATTTTATAAATTTGATTTCTAAAGATTCTTTGTTCTCTATCCTGTCATGAAAAACATTGTGTCCTGCTGTTCTACAGGCACAATGGCCTAAAATCATATATACTGGGCAAAGAGTTGAATAGCAAAACCATGTGATACTTCATGTGCTATTGCCAATCAACAGTTCAACAAAATGCCTCTCTACCAGCTAAAAATCTTACATATGATTGATTTGTTTTCTCTAATAGTTTGTTTATACATGGACACATGACAGTTTGCATCTGGGGTATGTTCCAGTGCTAGTGGACAGTGTTGCAGACACAAATCGTCATAAGGCACATATGGTTTTGATGATGAGAGGTCCTTTGTTCCAGGTATGAGAAAAAAGGTAGGACCTATTGTTGTTGAACTTATATGAGCTAAAGTAATTAATTTTGTCAATTAGTTGGAAGACAGAACCATGTGGTAATTGATATGTCATTGTCTTCACCACAAATAATGAGATTTTATGACTTGCCATTTGCTTATATAAACTTGTTTTGAGAAGTTGTGACCACCACAACTCTACACAAAACAAAGAATACTACTTAAAGCTTTTCTGTTCTTTTGGGATCTTAAGTACTCTTTCTCTTCATACTTTGCGCATCTTAAATTAAAGATCATGGCTATTCGTGTACCTCGTATAATCAAGAAGTCCTCGACATCTCTACAAGTTCCCAAGGGACATTTTGCTGTTTATGTTGGGGAGAAGCAGAAGAAGAGATTTGTGATACCAATATCATACTTGAGCCAATCTTCATTTCAAGACTTGCTAAGTCAAGCAGAGGAAGAATTTGGCTTCGATCATCCAATGGGTGGTGTCACAATTCCATGTCCAGAAGACATTTTTATTGCCATCACTTCTCAGCTTAATTAGGATTTGAGAACATAGTTGAGATCATTTTTTCTTTTTATAGGTCTAACAATTTTGTATACAAATTAAAGAAGGAGATCCATATTGTACAGTTGATTAGTTACAAGTTAAATGAGACTTAGCACCTCAAAGATTGGTGGTTTTTTAGCTAATTCAGAGAATACAATACGTCATTTTCTCTCTCTTAAATTGTGTTTCCTGGTTTATGTTTAAAAAGTTTTGCTTCAATCAGTTATCAATTGGGCTGCAATATGCCCTAGACTATCTAGTATAGCTCCAAGCATATAATAGCAACAACATACCTAGTGTAGTCCCATGACATGGAGTCCTGAAAAGTAGAGTGTAGGCGTATCTACCTCTAGCTCGTAGGTGGAGCTCCGAGTATCTACAACTTTATTTATTTATTTATTTATTTATTTATTGCTATCAACAAAATAATATTAGAATAGATTATCTACAAGGGGACATGCCAAAATATGTCTTTGTTTTTTAACCTTATTTCTTGGTAGGGTATAACATATATATGTCGTGAAGTGTTGAATAAAAAGGATTATCCGTTATATTTAGGGTATATGCGTGAAAAGGGATCTTAGACTAAGTGTATTTTGACACTAACAATGAATAGAAATGTTATAAACTAGTCCAGCTCGATGTACAAACATACAAATATATATTTTTAAAAAGAAAAAGAAAAAAAGTAGTTAATTTAGGAAGCTTTATACATATATAACCCGCCAAATGGACATACTTTTTCATGAAAAAAAAAACATAACTTGTTGAACGTTTATCCTTATGGATTCTACTAATGGAAATGTTCTAGGGGATGAAGAAAGTCAGCTTTCTTTTGGAAGCAGTAATAAAATTCAACCTACTATCTCTATTACACAAAAGCAAGTACCCAGGTTTTCTTTTTAAACTCTTCCCTCATCACTATTTATGATAAGCCTCAGATATTTTATCTTTTTTTGGTTTGATATCTTTTCAATTTGTTCTTACATATATGTATGGTGTTTGGCTTCTTTTTTTAACAGCTCAGATGATGAAAAGAAGAAGTATACTTGTCTCACAATGGCTGAAAGGCTGGGCTTACCTGACTTCTTCTCTTTGGACGTTAGTATATTTCATCTCTTACTCATCTTCTATACGACTGTATTGACTAAGCAATAGAATTCGACTATTTTTTATGTAGGTGTGGCGAGCATCGGTTGGAGAGCTTTTAGGCTCTGCGGTTCTTGTTTTTATGTTGGACACCGTAGTGATTTCCACCCTAGAAAGTGATGTCAAAATGCCAAATTTGATTATGTCAATTCTCATAGCAATTACACTCACCATTCTAATCCTTGCTGTTTTTCCTGTGTCTGGTGGCCACATTAGCCCTGTAATTACCTTCTCCTCAGCACTAGTGGGACTAATATCAATGTCACGAGCCATAATTTACATAGTGGCACAATGTGTTGGTGCTATTTTAGGTGCACTAGCACTCAAAGCTGTGTTGAGTAGTACCATTGAACAAAGATTCTCTCTTGGTGGTTGTACCGTTACGGTAGTTACGCCTGGGCTCAATGGGCCTGAAATTGTGGGCTTGGAGATAGCCCAAGCATTTTGGCTTGAGTTTATGTGTACATTTGCTTTGCTTTTTGGTTCACTTTGGATGGCCTATGATCATCGCCAGTCCAAGGCACTTGGGCTTATTACTGTCATGTCTATTGTTGGGCTTCTAGCAGGGATTCTTGTGTTTATTTCAACTTCAGTTACTGCTAAAAAGGGCTATGCTGGAGCTGGAATGAATCCAGCTAGGTGCTTTGGAGCTGCTTTTGTTAGAGGAGGCCACCTGTGGAATGGGCATTGGATCTTTTGGGTTGGGCCTGGACTTGCTTGTTTTGCTTTCTACTTCTATACAAAGATCATTCCTTCGGATCATTTCCAAACTGATGGATACAAGCATGATTTCTTAGCGATAATCGAGACATTGTTCAATCAGAGATAGTGTAGTAGTAGTTTTTGCAAATCATGTACTTATTGCAAACAAAATCCCTATCAGTGGTAAACATATAACTTGTATCCTTGTCAATTGTTTAGCTAGCATTCGCTCAAAAATAGCCCGACTCAATATCACAAACTGCACATAGAACAACTAGTGGCACTTGGACTGCTCCATGTGTAGTCCAATTGATAAGCACAGATTCTGCGGTAACGGTTTGTATGCTTTCTTCTTGCTTCTTTCTCCTCTGGCATCAAAAATTCACCTAGCCAGTTTTCCAATTTTCATTACAAAGTCAACTGGCAGCTACAGCACTCTGTTGTATCATCATGGTCATTAACTAAACCAGACCATTAATTCATTAATTAATTGAGTTGTCTAGTTTCATTAGCCCTCCTTGAACTTCTCCTAATCTAAGGACAAATCACCAGTTCGAATAGTACGTTGTTGATGGCTTATTCCTTTTCGTAGCCGTGTCTGGGAGAAGCTGAAACCTGTCTGTTCCCAACTAAAAGGTGATTCGAGCTTTGGCTGGAACCACCTTTTCATAATAACACCATTGATTCGAATCTTCCCAAACGATTCATTCCCTTGGTACGGCAGGCGAAGCCTCCTCAAAAGTGCTGCAACTGCCCTGTTGATCCTGTTGACCAAATAAGAGAATTTTGAATGTTATGTGATCGTACAGCTCTTAGAATGAAATAAACATACTGGAGCATACGAAGGATGAATTCCAAATAGGCTTAACTTCGAATGAAATGTTATTCACTTTTCCAAATGGGTACCCTTGGGCTTCTTTTTTCGCCAGTTAGTGATATCTTGGTTAACATGGTACTGCTCGCTGGGCATGGGAAATATTAAACTAAAAATAGTAGCTTAATATGCATCAGCCATGCAGAAATGCAAGACTTGTATACTGCCAAATTAACATTATTTTCTGAGTCTTACATTTGTCTTTTCTGTGTCATGCTATTAATGTTATTTCAGAAAGAAAAAAAGAAATACTGTATATGTTTGAAGTAGATGATTTACTTTTTCTCATGTCATATTACTTACTGGTATATATCTTAAAATAAGAAGTTGTACACAGAAGGAAATTTCTTCAAGAAAAGAGCTCTCATTACCTTCCAGCAATCTTAATTGTTTTCTGGCCTGTGGGTGTCTGAATATGTGACTGCTCTACAGGGAGTACAATGGATATGTTCGGTATTTTTGCACCTGCAGGATTTTCCATCATTTCAAGAGATGCTAAACAATAAACATAAAAGCAACACATTATCATCGTAAAGATATTTCAAGTCTTGTGATCTTTCTTAATTCTCTCTTTTTTATGATTATTGATAAGGAAATAAAGAAGCTTTTACTCTCTTCATCTGTTATAATGATAAAGTTTTGCCCTTAGCATTAACGTCATTTCTATTCTCTTAATTTGAAAATGAACCTAAACTTGGTATTATCTTAGTTGACGAGGGCACAAGGCTATGCCACATCTTGAACTATACCATGGAAGTGGGAGCTAAAAAAGAATCAAGGCATCATTTAATATTTTTGCATAAAGAATTCACAACTGGTATGATAAAATTCCACAAATTGCTAATACAACTTTAGATATAAAACTTTGCATAACTAGTACTCCCTTTATTTCAATTTGTTTTTTGACTGTTTTTATTTAGCACAGAGTTAAAGAAAGTAAACTGACTGTTTTTATTTAGCACAGAGTTAAAGAAAGTAAACAAGACTTTTGAATCTTAAGGTCTTAAACTAAGAATATGTAGTATGTACCAAAATATTCTTTAATCTTGTGGTTTCAAACATGGCACGTGAAAAGTTAGAATTTAAGAAACATTATCTTTCAAATGGACTAAGTACTACAAATAAATTGAAAAAGAGGGAGTACAGTATTTGATCTCTAGTATAAAATTTTGCATTACTACTACAAGCAAACCTTATGTGATGCATTATTATATGCAGGATAGAATGAGGGATGTGGAATTGTACTATAAAACTTTGCAATACTAATATTAGCAAACCCCTTATGTGATGTAACGAGGAAATACTCTTTCAAGTAGGCAAAATAGTCTTTACCTGCAGCCAAACGATGCTTGAGACTCTTTAGGACAGTCAAAAGATATACCTGGTTAATTTTCAGAAAGAAAAAAAAACTGTCAAACAAAGTATTAGCAACAGAATTGTTGTGAAAATGGATCGGGAACCTATACAATGTATAAGATTAGCAAAAGTAATACAGATGCATGAACAGTATTTTTTAACTTCCTAATCTTAAAAACTATTAGGAATCCTGCGAAAGAGGGAAACATAAAAACAGAAAAAGAGAGAAACCTTTGCAGCCAAGTAGGATAAACTCCTATTATTAGTAACTGAGACCAATAAAGCTCGTCAAGCATAAGAATACTCTCGTGTGGTTACAATTGAAAAAAATAAAGTAAATACTTAGTTACTGCCCACTAAGACAAGCTTACCTGAGCTGCATGAATATGCAAATTCCTCACATCGACAACAATAGGACTTCCCTTAAAGGAAGTCAATGGGACGATCCCAAGTGAAGCTGCCTCCTAAGAAACAAGAAAACATGTGAGATAATCCACCATAGTAACCAATAAGATGAAGTTGTAAACCTGATAAAAGACAATTAAGATAAACCACGGACCTCAAGCAATGAACAGGCACGGGGATCATATTCACCAAATCCATCAATCAAAGAGCAAAGATTTGAGCCTTTTGATGTTTCCACAGTTAATCCTAGATTTTCAATAAGTCTTTCTTTTATGGATGCATCACGAGGAAGCTGTAGGCAACCCAGAACTAGTGATAGCTCCTCAATTGTGGGTACCACACCAGCTCCAATTGTTTCCCTGTAGACCATTAAGGCCAACGATGTCCTGCAAACCAATTAAGAATTTCACAACTGTGTACCACGTCTTTTAACAAAGCCAGCATTCATATAATTAACTTTAGTGACATCTTTTATATTTGGACTAGGCACAAGCAGTCCAGTCCCCCTTAAGCCTGAAGGGAACATGAACATCCACTCAAGAAAAGAAAATTCTTAAGATAATTCCTCACCGTATACCAAATTTCCCTGAAATAGGCTAGACAAATCAAGATGGCAATCTGGCTATCTCAATACATGATTGCAACAATATGTTCAGCACGGCCTCTTATATCAACTACTTTTACAAAAGAAATTGAGTGCATTCACTACGAGATAATTTTACATCCATCTTAATACATCATGCAGTTCAGCCAAAGCATTTCAAAGCATTTAGAATCTGTATCTGATATAAATAAAACAAAATAACTACAGAAAGGTAGTAAACTATCACCAGAGGCATTTAAGATGGAAATGTTGATCTTAAAAATCATGTTCAAACTGGCAAAGCCAACAACAGCGTCACTATAACAGTATATATTAATCCTCTGCAATCCCTTTTTAACAGATATGTCAGAATCAGCAGCAGATTAAATAGAACCTTACCATTTACTGTCAAGCTGCAGGCGACCAGAGTTATTAGACAAGACAGGCTCACCAAGTGTACAAGCTTTCTGGAATCTCCTTGAGCACATAGCTACAAAAAAAATTCATATAATCAAATAAGTATGATGCCCAAAACAAATGACACAACAGAAAAATTCATTGCTTCTGGATAGATACAATGGCAAGACTGGTGAACATTCTTGTCATGAAGGACAACAAAAAACAAAAACTGCAAAAGGTAGTGAGCCTCTCCTTTATAATGACCAGGTAAGGAGCATGATTACTAATATTGGCTAATCTACTAAACATACCACTCTTGTAGAAACTTAGATGATATCCTAAAAACATTCCTTACATTGGCATTATAGGGAGAGAACAAGGGACTTACATATGATGTTCAATCACCTAGAAAAAACTTAATGTTCAACCTAGAAAAAACTTACATTAAAGTTCCCAGCCATTCATCTCTGAAGGAGATTAATGGAGCAGTATAGGGAGATATACCGCGTATGTTATTGTTGTGGTTGTTAGGTCTAAGAATTGCTGGAAGGGATCAATTAGTGCATAAATGCTCCAGCACTAAAATCCACGATGGAAGGATCGATTCAACTTAATTTGTTAGATGGGCATAAAACATACATCTTTTTTCACCACCATGAACATATCCAAATAAAAAAAGAACATGCAATCCCACTTGGTGACGGTTTAGCACCGTATATCAAGTCAAGATTCAATAATAGCAAACGCAATGCAATAACAAGCTTTTAATTCTTACCAAGAAGACATCTGCACATAACAAGGTTTGGGGCAACACCATCTTTTTTAGCATGAGAAAGAAGCATGAGGCCAACATCCAGGTCATCCTTTCTGTCATGAGATAGGAAAAATAAATGATAAAACTCAAAAACTCAGACATACAGAAAATGATATATTGACAGGAGAAAATGGTCATAATACATAAACGTCAATGTAAAGGAATCAAGGTATTACTTTTCACTTGCCACTAAAAGAGTGGAGTATGTAATGGTGTTAGGGCATAGGTCCACTCTCTTCATTTCAGAAAAAATTTCCAGAGCCTTCTGATATTGATCGGCATAACCTATTACAAACACATCTCATTGAGGAAAATAAGCAAATGCTTATGAAATGGGAAACAACTTCCACACATAGCAAAAACTAAATGAAGATCATGAAAGTCCATAAAGCAGCTATTGAAGCTAATTATGAATCATGAAAGAATCTTCCAAGTTAGCTCTACCAATGGACTGAGACCACTTAAAGGTATGAATTATGAGCCTTTTGAAACAAAAACTAAACAGGAGAAAGAAAAAAAGGAGTGTAGATATTATGGAGTAATAAAAGAGGGATCAGTGAGATGCTTATGTTGAGAAAACGTTTAAGATGTGACTTACACAATGCAGTTATCAATGCATTCATCATTGAAACAGTTGGTTTTAAGTTGATGCCTTTAATATCCTCATACAATTCTAGTGCCTTCTGCCAGTTCTTTGCCTGCAAATGGATTGGAGAAGTGTTTTATGACCAAGTCAAATGACTTCGAAAGAAATCTTAAAACCAACTTCACATTCTTGCCTCAGATGCCAAAAAAAAAAACTAGCAGCATCTGAAAGTGTATTTGGGGCTAATACTTGCTAATTGGTCGAAAGAAAGTTCATGCTGGTTGAAATGACTGAGAGTAACAGCATAAAACAAGTTCTTTATGGCAGCAGTGGAAGACAATTTCACCTAACTAATGCTAGTAAGATAGTTCTGTATTATAGACAGAAAAGTGGAACATAACATGATCCACTTTTCTAGCTTGTCTAAATATATGATCTTCCAAGGCACACTTAACCTCAATCTAATATTGATTTCGCTTGACATTTGTTTCTTCAGATTGGTATTCTCTCTTTTTAAGTGTCTACTCTGTGACATCCACATGTGCACCGAATTTATCAAATAGAATTCATAAAGGTGCTCTTCAAGCTGTTCAACTGGGTAGTCCCAAAGGTATGAGAATAATGAGACAACAATATCATCAATTCTTTACTACTGACAAAATGTAATTTTACTGCACACAATCTTTTAAGCAACTATGTCATCTGCACATTCTGTTATTTTCAGGAGATCCATTTATTCATTTCATTCTTATTTTTCTAAAATTAGAAAGAGACCTTGAACAAGTCAGGTTTCAAAAAATATGTATACTTAGGGTCCTCTTTATCCCATTCATATAAGAAGAAGAGAGTTAATATTCAGAACATCATGGTAGGAGAAGCATGTGACCAGAATACAAGCAGTGACCTGAAATGAAATTGGAGAGCAAGTTCAAAAAGTACCAAAAATTCACACAAAACAGAACATAAGTCAGAGACTAAATTCCAGGAGGAGCATTAAGTTTAGAATTTCCAATATTGTCTTCTGCTGTTCTACGAAATATAATAAAAGGAGCTAGAGTTTATTTGCACGTTGGTTAACTATGAATCTCTATCAATTATTTCCCATCTACAGTGTCTGCATGTGACATTGTGTTTCCTCTTTGATGTTTTTTCACTGTTTTGTATTTTCCTAAAAGCTATTTCAGAATTGGCTAAAGAAAGACAGGTAGAACACAGCTTGACTACTTCTAGGTATTATTTAGTAGAATAGTGACCCGTAAGACATCCCTCCATACATAACTCCCTCTTAATTACGGGCCAGATGATCACTTCTTAGAGGCATTCACAAATCAAATGTTCAGTGAACTACAAAAGTGGCTTAAATACAACTACTACTCACTATCATAAATGAAGGTACCACAAGGTGAAGAAGACAAATTCGTAGGAGATCTAGCAGTCCAACGTCAAGTCTCAAGAATAGCCAACTTAATGCCCACAAAGCTGGCATAAAAACTACATGATCAAGACATATGAAAAAACAACAGTGTCGTGTTAACATAATGTGTGCGTTTTAAACTTTCGCATTGTTCCATATTATATGGACCATATAAACTAAACTTTCCCATAATGAAGCTTCATTGATCACAAGATATGGAAAAACGGATGTCGGTATTGCATCTAATTTTGAACATCTAAGTTGTATGACATTATCATCCCATTATAGCATATCCAATTACACTGAAATCAGATACACTATCAATTTTGAGACTTAGAGCAGGTAACACTCATTGATATCAGTTTCTGACATTAAATATGAACTTAACCCACAAAATTGGTATTAGATCTCAATCGAAGAGGATGATAAATTTACACAGACAAGTCCTATCACTTTATTTCAGAGACGAGAGGGGACAGAAAGCAGAGGTTGTACAGTCGTCTATATGAGGAAACACAAAAAGGATCAGTGTTCATACATTACAGCAGGCTCCCATCAATGAGCTATATGATATCGATCCCAAATTTATGCCTTTAGCCCTTGCTTCTTCTAGAACTTCAAATGCAGCTTCCAACTTACCTGTGTGCCCTGCCACATCTATCAGCGCACTGATAAACATCTGCACGAATAAAGGAAACTTAAGTTTTTTTTTCTAATTTAATTATTTATCAAAAAATATGACGGAAGTAAGAAATATCAGTGGCGAAGTTTTAACTTAATGCTGACAATTGATGAAAAGATGGAGACAGATACTGATGCATTTAAGCTCCGATTTCAGAAACAAGGTTGAGAGGCATGATTTTGGAGATAGAGGCCGACAAAATCTGTATTTCAGGAAACCTGACTCAGCTAATCAATCAAAACAAAAAATACTCAGCTATGCCGCGCTAGACCGACTACTCCAAGAGCACTCATCCATAAACCAATTACTGGTACAAACAACAAACAAGAGAAAGAAATGTAACCAAACGTTTATTGGGCACGCAGACCTAAAATAAAAGCCAGAATATCTCTTGGATTAAATTGCCCCAAGGAAGTGCATAATACTTTATGAGGAAACGCAAAAGCTGCTGAAATTTCATTGCAGTGTCATAGTCAGGTTTTTCTGCATTCCAGTTTCGGTATTGAAGATTCCAAACTTGTTTTGTGGATGAAAGATATCCTAAGCTTCTAAATGCTGTCAACTCGCAAATTTATTGTGGTTGTAGCTTTGAAGGCTGTTTTGGTGGTTGAGAATTCGGTTTGATGTCATCATCATCAAAAACCCCATTTTCTTTTCCCAGTCAGGCGTACTAAGCCTCATAATATATTGAAGAGAAAAAAAGAGTTGCAAGCCATCAAAATGTATAAAAATCTCCAGACATGCAACCACAACAGTTAAAAAATTAGTACCTCCTCATGCAACCACAACAGTTAAAAAATTAGTACCTCCACATGCAACCACAACAGTTTAAAAATTAGTACCTTCACATGCAACCACAACAGTTTAAAAATTAGTACCTCCACATGCAACCCAAAAGTTTAAAAATTAGTACCTCCACATGCAACCAGAGAAGTTCAAAATTAGTACCACATGAACCACAGCAGTTTAAAAATTAGTACCTCATCTGGATTAACACCTTTTTTGGACATGTCATCATAAATGCTGCGTGCAAATTCCCAATTACCATTTTGACTGCAACAATTTACAGCAATTGTGTAAACCTCTGGTGTTCCCTTGATATCACATTTATCAATCATACGATAAACCTCTAGAGCTCGATCAACCTAAAGCAATTCATGTCAATGGTTTATTATAATAGAGGAGTAGCTGAATATGGGAACACCAATCTCATTCAACTGAGATTTAACATCTAAAAACAGAATATACCTGACCAGAATTCGCACATGCCTTCATCAAAGCCCCAATAGTAATCTGATCAGGTTCTATTGGTCGTGCTTCTGCTTTCATTTCTGATAAGACATCAAAAGCACGATCGACTGCTCCCGATTGACCACAAGCTGTGATAAGAGCATTGAATACAACACGATCTGGCTTCACATTCTACTGAATACAACAGGAATCTAATGTGAGATATTCGGCCGTCGAAGTACACGTCACTTTTCAGTACAATTTGGTAAATGGTAAGGTGATACAAAATGAAAAGTTAAAGCAATACCCTCTATAATTTTGTACACCCTGAGTAGATAAATTCATACCTTAGATCTCATTATACCATAGGCACCAAAGGCCTTGGCAACTTGTCCAGCTTTAGCACAACCATCAATGAGGGCACCATATGTATTAGCATTTGGTTCGACTCCAGCATTGACCATTTCATGAAAAACCTACAACTTCAGAAAATATCAACTCGAAAGATGGTATATAACTTTATAAGTGCAAGGACAGGCAGTAAGAATCTAAGAAATCATGTAGGTCTAGCTATAATAAAAAACAAATTACCCTAAATGCAACTAGTGGGAGTAGCAAGCAACTATATTCATTCTAAAACATAATTATGAGAAAGGTCGTGAATTTGTTTCTGCCGTTTGAAGTACACTCTTTGACACAATTGTCATGTTGTGATGATAATTGAAAATTGCAAACGACAATCATGCCTTAATCCCCAAGCTAGATAAGATCGGCTATTTCCATCCCTCATTATCCATCTCGCTCCATTAAGATCTATCCTGATCTAATCTTCAATAATTTAAAATTATCTAATACTGCTTCTTTACATTTTCTACTGCATACAAATCTCTAACAGTAATCAAACTCCTAGTTTTTTTCTTTTTTGATCAAATAAACAAATTAATTTTCATAAAGCAGAAGTCCAAAATCGGCCATAGAAGAAATATACCAAATAGTAAAGAACCTACAAAAGATACCCAATCCTCTATATATACCAGGACTACATGATACACAAAAAATAAATAAGGCATGAAGATTACTCTTTTACTTCCCAAAACTCATTCTGCTCTCTTATTTCTACCTCTCCAAATGATCCACATCAAAGCCTGAGGAACAACATTCCGTGCCGTCCTTTTTCTCCTGCTTCTTCCCGCTTAGCTTACCAACCCAACTGAACATATACTACCATAATCTCCTTGACAGTCTGCACTGTAGTAGAAGATGATCAACATCTTTGCCCGCCTCCTTGCATATGTAACACCAGCTGTACAAACAGCCTTTCTTTTCCTAAGGGTTTTCACCGTCAAAATTACTCCTCTAGCAGCTAACCATGTGAAAAAGCACATCTTCCTTGGTAGCTTAGGAATCCAAATCAACTTTACAGGAAAAGACTGCTAGTGAATACTGGATTTAAAGTAAGTGTACTAATATGATCAAGCATTAATCACAAGCTAATTGGTATGCATACATGTATCTTTTTCATCTATTCTATGCTTAAGTCTACAGGGTTCAAAAAAATTGTAGATATTTCTGGAGTATTCCACTGTTTAACACCTTCTATCAATATGGTTTCACACCTATGGACAATGCGACTGGAGATCAACATAAGACATAAACTACTCATATTAAGCGACATTTTCTCATTTTATCCTCAGTGCTACTTGTAACTTTTGTAGAATATTTCAAGTGCCCAACACGCCCTCCTTAAAGAGGATATTCAATAAAACATTTTTTCATGAGAAATCAAAAAATGGCGGTACTTACCTCAAACATGGTATCAACTTTTCCAGCCTTTGCACAAGTTGATATAAGAGTAGTGTAGAGCTTGCAATCGGGTTTCAGTCCAGTCTCACGAACAAGTTGAAGCACTTGAAAAGCACCTAAGTAAACAAAATAAATTGACCAAAATTAAAATGGGATAATGTCAGTCCAATAGATAAAGTTTCATTTGCTACAGTTAACATATTATTTTGATGTTGCCATTGCTCTCTTCTTCATTGTTTTCGGCTGTTTTCGGCATGACTTCCTCGCTACTGTATTTGTTTTACATGCTTCTTTTTTATATGTTTTACTTGAACCAATGGTCAATTGAAAAGAGTCATTCTACCTTCACAATGGAGGTAAGGCTACATACACACCATCCTCCCCAGACCCCACTTGTGAAATTACACCGGATATGTTGTTGTGTGTTACAAGGTCATAAAGACAAACTGGAATTTTCCAAAGAAATATTGGAAGTTGATTTCCAAAGTCTATTGAAAACAATAACATCCCCTTGCACTTTTTCCTCTTTATCCGTGTCACAGAACCTTACCAAAGAAGAAACAGGAATAAGCATCAAGAAAAAGAAAACTTACGCTCCAAATCCCGAGAGCTTGCACATACAGACAAGAGCATATTGAACGTGCTTAGAGTTGGATTCTGGATAAGCTTGGTGAAACGGAAAGCTTCCTTCACTGCCTTTTGACTTTTACAGACTTGGAAAAAACCGGCATGGTACACCTGTAAATGGGACCTTTAACAAACTACGAACAAGCCAAAATTCATAAATAGAATATGAAGTAAATATAAGCAGAAATCTCCCAATTTACTTTATCCATATTCAGCGAACCGTGCCTTTCCATATCTTCAAGGATTTTTATGCAGTCCATCAACCTGCACCAGGAATTCCTGTGCATGAGCTTGAATGGTATAAACAAGAGCAACAGACCAAGGATGTCCATAGTCAGTGGTTACACAATTTTATTTCAATCAATTACATCATTTTGTTATTCAGCCACCATTTCCATAGTTTTGCTAGTTCAATCCCCTAAGTCTGGATGTTTTCATCAAGTGCAAACACTTTGTTAAGAAAGAAGCAGAACATCCAACAGGAGAACATGTTCACGTCCCAAGTATCATCTTTTTAACTATATCAGAAATATCATTTTCTACGTGCTAAACCTTTCAAACAAATATTATTGATGACAAGCATAAGGACCGGTCCAAGAATGAAGTCAACGTGTTAAAATATAGGTTACCTGCCCTCTCTAAGGAAATGGCGGTAAGCCCTGAACTGGTCGGATGGATTAGGTCGATCACACACTTGGATCGACTTTGGATTAGAAACCTGTAATTGTTTCGAGGCACCATTGTCCGATAGGATACTCTTTTCCTTATTAGTGAATTGCTGCATTCTTTTCACAAAGTCCTCTTTGTTGAATGGTCGTTCTTTATAACATCCATGAGACCTTTTCTCCTCAAAATCCTCTGAAAAATAATTGAATCTCATAAAAAAAATCAATACTGAAGAACACCAAGGAAAGAACAAACAAACCCCCCAAAAAAAATAAAATAAAGGGAGATGTATAAAAATATGATAAATTGGAATGAAGAGGTTGCAGCATTTCCATAGAACACCCTGCTGGATAATGCAGATCTGAGGAGATGCTTTACCTGCTCGTACTGAAAATGCTTTTGAGGGGGGTGAAAAGGTGCCAATGCCTTGACGGGAAGCATGAGAAGTCAATGCGTCTTGCCCATTTAGACTTTTGCTAGATGCCCCAAAGAACGAGTAAAGATCTTCGCGTGTAGAGTCCCTGAAAATAAGATTGTGGATAATGACTTCATCCTCTGCAACAAATCTATGGGCTTTCTTAAGTTCGTCCTTCATCATCAGTTCCTGGTCCATTATCTTGGTTTTCTCAGTTCTATTATCTATGTTGATTGTAGGAAACAAAGCAACACTACGCTCTGAACTGACTTCCTCTGTAGTCAGTATGTTACTCATTTTAGTTTCATGCAGATGCTCCTGCAGATTAATGTTTTTCGACTCTTCCATAAAGGAAGATGGTACTGCATCTGATTCGGTGTGTGCAATAGGTTCAGGTTCTCTGACTTCCTCTGTAGTCAATATGTTACTCATTTTAGTCGTCCGTAGATTTTCCTGCAGATAAATGTTATTCGACTCTGCCACAAAAGAAGATGGTACTACATCTGATTCAGTGTGTGCAATAGGTTCAGGTTCTCTGACTTCCTCTGTAGTCAATATGTTACTCATTTTAGTCGTCTGTATATTTTCCTGCAGATAAATGTTATTCGAATCTGCCACAAAAGAAGATGGTACTGCATCTGATTCAGTGTGTTCATTAGGTACAGATGCTCCCAAGGTCAAAGAGCCATTGGAACTAGGAGCCAACTGATTAGTATCTAGAGACTCAATATTGTTGGTAACAAACGTTTGTATCAAATAGGTTCCATCATGTTGCAGCACATCTGCCTCCCCATCCTCACGCTCATTGCTGACTTTGGTTACTTCCTTCATTTGAGTTTTGACAGATTTCTCCTCCTGTATGTTTATAAGAGCAAATACATGACGTGGAAACCAGTTCATCACATGTCTTATTTGTCGCCGCAAAGCAAGAGTTAACTCAGCTGAAATCTATGAAAAATTGTGGACATCAGAAATATGGACCTCCTGAAGTAACTCTGGTAAAACTGTAACACCTCTTGCTAACGTGTTTTAGAAAAAAATATTCCTACTTTTAAGTACCAATGACTAAAAAATTTGACTTACCACAGATGCCAATGACCAGAAAACTTCAGACATAATATTTTCAGTTTCTATAAATTTATCCAACAACTAAGAGTTGAGATGGTAGAGGACTCAATGTTTCCAAGATGACTTCTAAGACCAAGAACTTATCTGAAGAGAAACATGTTCTGACATATTAACAACTAGGATAATATTTCACTTTCATATTACTGAGATATACAACTCCAAATACTAATTGAAGATTGGAAAATTAAGAGTTAGCCTTGTTGCAATCAAACAGCATGTGTACTGAACAAATGATGATCTATGTTAAATGATGAGGATAGAAATTAGCTATCAACATCTACATTCTTGATTCTACACAACACAATAGAATCACTAAGACGTATACAGACTCAAGACACATCCTCTTTCTGTATTTGGCAACAAAAGTTAACTAGTAAAGTTATACACCGAGAAATTGCTAGGCTTACAAGAAATTGGTCTCTTTCAAGAAATAACAGTAAAAAGTGAACCGGTAATGTTATTCACAAAGTAGAGTTTACCTCTTTGAACTTGGCGTTGGCATTGGTATTTATTTTGGAAAATTCAAGAAAGATGATTATAAGAGCAAAGATAGTGACAACGGATGCAAAAACTACCTTTAGCGAGTCAAGAGAAGCATAGTTCTGAGATATTAATAATTAGTATATTATTTCCCTTCCATATAAACAACTCCAAATCACTATTAACAAATGAAGAGTTAGCCTTATTGCAATCAAATAGCATGTACTGAACCAACTACATTCTTGATTTTACAATACAAAATTTTCAAGAATCAAGAAATCGGCGTCTATTTCATGAAAAGAAAGGTGAAGCGTTTATGTTATTCACAGAGTATAGCTTACCTCCTTGAACTTGGCGTTGGCATTGGTATTTCTTTTGGAAAATTCAAGAAAGACGACTGTAAGAGCGGAGATAGTGACAACTGATGCAAAAACTACGGTTTGCGAGTCAAGAGAAGCTCTGAGAACAAATCTTGAAGTGTTGCCGCCGAATTGAAAGCCGATATTTCGACATCTCCTCCGCGAGTGAAGGCCAGGAGGCCGTAAAGAATGGGTAGAACCGGAGAGAAATTGGCGGCGAGGAACGAGAGAAGAGGAGATTGGAGAACAAGAAAGGAGAGAAAGTTTTGGAGAGAAGATTGAGTCCATGAAATTGGAGAGGAAGAAGAAGAGAAAGTGAAGATAGCGTGATGACTGGATAGGAAGTTATAAGCCATGAGCCATTTGACGGAAGAAACCAAGTTACTTACGTGGCCTTTTATATATCAAAATCCGAGCCGTTACAGATATTTTTATTCTTTTTCTTTTTTTATTTATTTTCTTTTGTTATAAAAAGAGAAAAAGAAAATAAATTTACTTCTTCCGTCCACGATTGTTTGATCAAGATTAATTGTCAATTTAAATAAATTAGTCAATTTTTTCAATTCTATCCTTAATAATTACTCCATTTTATTCAATAAAAAAGTTATGTAGACTATTCTTGGTACAGTACAATTATATTAATTAATTTATACCTTATATTAAATTTCATTGAGAAGAGTTCACGACATTATCTCGAAAAACAATTGTGGACAAAGGGCGTAATAACTACAACTATTCCCTTCAATTCATATCATGTTTTTCTTCTTTCTTAGAAAAAAATAAAATATTAACTTATTGTCAAAATTTATTTAATATTACTTTTTAATATCTTCATATTTTATCAAATAAAAATTATAATTATAATTTATCATTAATTATGTTTTAATTCTCAAAACGATAATTAGTTTAAATCGGATATTTTTAGTAAATTCGAATTGATAAAAATTAAAGTAGGCCGGATCAAATAGTATACGACTTTAAAAAGTATAAATATTTTATGTGAAATAAGTAATTGAAAATAAGAAAATATGTATTATACTATCACGATCTTTGACGATCGTGCAGTTCTACTACGTATAATAGGAGTAAGAATAAATAACAAGATTTGCACCATAATTAATATCTTGGAACATGTATGAAAAAAAGAACAACATTATTCATGTCTAAAAATAGTTTTTAATAAATAATCAAAAGAATAATCTCAATATTATTTCACATACTAATGTTATTATTTAGAGAGTCTATTTATTATCTTGGGTGCTACCACATAAGTAAAATAAATATTTCAAGAGCTAAGGTAATATTATTGTGCCAAAAACTTTATTGTAATTATTATGGAGCAACTTTCTTATAAAGTAAGCATAAGAAATTAAATTTGTATAGTATAATTATAGTTTATATAATTTGCTTGCTCCTCATCAGGTTTATATAATTTCACCAAAATTCTACGAAATATATTATTTTTTTAGATTAGATGGCCGAAAGAAATCGGGCTGTTGTCCATAATTGGGGTGGATAACGCGTTACACGAAGCCCAAACCCAAAAAGGCCCAACTCTGTTGTCAAAGTGTTCCGCACCCGCCAACTTCCACAAACAAACAACGCCTTAAACCCTGCGAATTTGGCTGTGAACGTCTTCCTCATACTCTCAAAAACAGTATTAGTATTATTTTATGGCGGAAATGGATAATAATGGGCAAGTCGAAGAGGCTGCAAGGCGTGTACAGGTCCGGTTCGTAACGAAATTGAAGCCCCCATTTAAGGCCCCGCCTACTTCCATTGCTATTCCCTCCAACCTCACCCGATTGGGCCTCTCTTCCATAGCCAACAACCTCCTTAAAGCTGGTAATTTTTTAGTTCTAACAGATTCTGCCTACTATTAGTTTTCTTTTTTTTTTTAAAAAAAAAAGGGGGAATGTAGATCATATAGCTAAGCGGAACTAGTTTGTACCTTAAGCGTAGTTGATTGATTGGTTGTGTTTGTGTACCTGAGTTATAACTTTGAATTGGTGTGGAAATGGTTTGCCTTTTGTCGTAGGTAAATAATTATAATTATAGAGGATATGGTCATTCACGCTGAAGTAGATTTTTGTGGGAAATGATGAACTCATGCTAATTGTCAATTTGTCTTAATTGACTAACTCACCTCACTTGACTAGTAGAATAGATTGCTAGTTGTGGTCCGAGATATTTGTTATTATGGGTTAATGGTGCCATAAATGAGTTATTTTATCCTTAGAAATGACTATCAAAATGTTATTTTGTCAAAATTTGAGTCAGGGATAAAAGAGTCAGGTTTTATATTTAACTAAATAAAAGGAACTGTTCTCACCAATTCTGCTATATGTGTTTTTACTAGTATGCTTACCTGTTTTCATTTGATTGTTATTAGGAAAGGATAATTGGAATCCTGAGCCTTTCGATTTTCTCATTGATGGAGAACTGGTCCGCATGTCACTTGAAGAGTTTCTCCTCGCCAAGGGCATTTCAGCTGTAAGTCTCTTTCCTGACATCACTACTTGACTGCTAAAAATAACAGTTATGTCTCTTCAGACCAACTCAAAAATAAAAGGTACTCATGGAGAACTGTTATTTATTTCTTATACAGGAGAAAATATTAGAGATTGAGTACATTAGAGCTGTGGCTCCAAGAAAACAAGAAGAACCATCTTTGCATGACGACTGGGTCAGTGCAGTTGATGGTTCTAATTCTAAGTAAGCATGAGTGTGAAATTTGTTTTTCAAGAACCTTCAGTGTGATCCTTGTAATCTTTTCCGCCTTGTGTATCTTTCTATGTTTGATATATTTAAGACTTGATCTGAGTATGCTTCGCTTCTAAAGGAACTTCTGTACTAAAAGAGAATATTGGCTTATCCCGAAAAAAAATAGAGAGCCCTCATAATATAACTTAATGGACGGTTTTATGTTTTTGGCTATTGCATCTCTGTACCTTATACATTGTGCATTCACTTCACTCATAGATATCTGTTACACACTAGATTACCGAGGACAATATTGATGATATTATTACATTGTGCTGCTTTTGTTCCAAGTGTTTTTGAGTTAAATTTCATCCTCCGTGTGCTTTTCTCCACTAAAATATGGGATGGTGATAGTTAAGAATGTAATAATGGTCTTCTTTCCATACAATGAATTATTGCCTTAACTAACAATATGTGCATATTTGTGATCTGTCAGGTTTGTTTTGACTGGATGTTATGATGGCTTAGGAAGGTGATCCACTGATTGTATCTTCTTTTGCTAGTCGCATTTTTTGGTTCAGAACTCAACTTCTTTTTTTTTTTGTTATTACATCAGCCTAACATTTGATAGTGCTAATCAGAATATGGAAGGCTGCCGGATCTTGTACACATCTACTGGAGGGCCATACTGGGGCAGTTACTTCTGTTTGTGTTGTCAACCCAAGAGGTATCAGAGGGAGATAGTTTCTCCTCAGTTGCTCATTTTCTTGCATTATGCTTTACCGTCTGCTGCCATTATCATTTATCTGTGACACCAAAAGTTCATAGGTATCAGAGGGAGATAGTTTTTCCCCAGTTGCTTGTTTTCTAGCATTATTCTTTACAGTCTGCTGCCATTATCATTTATCTGTTCATACTCTTACATCACCTGCTTTTGGTATTTGTTTTTTCGAATAATATTTCTTGTTGATATTGCAATGCTGAAAACACGCTGGATACCAAAAACTATTACCAGCATGAGAATAATGCGGACATATAATTTGACATTCTCCTGGATGTTTTACTTCTTTGTGTTTCATTTCTTCCGCAATTCTGTCTGTGTTTATCATATTTATACCTTTTATTTTCTTAAGTGGCTCAAGATGGCGCTGATCAAATAGTCGTTACGGCTTCCAAGGATAGGACACTGCGGCTCTGGAAGGTAACATGATGTGCCTTTACTACGAATAACTCTCTGCCTAATTCGTGATCTTCCTCTAATTAGTATTTGTTTGGCTTAAAAGTTTGATTCAGATGAGCCTTCAGATCAGATAAAGAGGATTAGAGCATATAAAATTTTACATGGACATAATTCTTCTGTTCAAAGTGTTGCAGCAAATCCTGCTGGAGATATGGTCATTCATCTCTTCACTTAATTGATCATTTGAAGCTTTTTAATTACGTATTTGATTATAAGAAGTTTACTGACTCCCTGTTTTTGTTGTGTTGGACAGGTGTGTTCAGGGTCCTGGGATTGCCAAATAGCTCTGTGGCAAGCAAGTGGCTCAGATACAGGTGATGTAATTTCAGTCAAGAGAAGGAAGAAGGATGCCAAAGAGGAGGATCCTCTAGTAGAAGTATGGCCACATTTCTTCTAACTTGTCTAGGTTAAAGATAGAAAAATACATCTATTTCATGCCACATAGTGTTAGAAATCCATGACCTGTTTAATACGGATAATGTGTTTGTTCTAACATCTACCTTATCCCAAAAAAAGGGTAATGTGTCTGTTCACAAAACCAGTGAAAAAGAAGGAAAGAACAGTTTATGGCTGTTGTTACTATTTGATTTCAAAAACTTTTCAGTGCAAGGCATATACTTAACAAAACAATCTACTTTTACTCTTTGGCAAAACCTCTTCTTCCCTGAACCCTATTTTGAATCCTTCTTCATCCTACCTCTCATATGCCACACCCATCCAATTGTCCCAACTTTGTGTTGCTACTCCCTCAATTTTAAATTATGTGACATAGTTTGAACCAGCACGGAGTTTAAGAATAAAATGAAGATTTTGGGTACGTGTGGTCTAAAATATGCCATAACATTTGTGTGGCTGTAAAGATTTTGAAACTGGCTATCTGTCCGGTAGATTCCTCCCTTGTTCCTTATCTACCACCTTTGTTGTCATTATATTCTTCTTTTCAAAGTTGTTTCAACAACAATTTTGTGCCAGTCCAACGTGTTTCTGACTTTCTATGTTGTATCTCATAGAAAATTGATATTGATTAGCAAAATCTTTTGTCCCTTTTGATGAAAGACAAACAACCTTCTGATTTCCTTAAATGACGATGTTCATCAATGCAACTGAAGGACCAAACTAATGTTGAAATTGGTGTTCGAAATATGTCGGTCTTTGGCTCACTCTGAGTTGCTTAATCTTTGTTCTGTCTCTTCCTTTTTTATTTTTTTTATTTTCTTTTCAAAAGATTTTTTAATGATTGTTATCCTAATCTTGTAAATAATTTTCTCACATCTTATGCTCACAGGAGGAGGCTAAATCTACACTTGTAGGACATACACAATGTGTGTCTACCGTGGTGTGGCCACAAGATGAAGCAATCTATTCAGCATCGTGGGATCACTCTATTAGAAGATGGGATGTTGAATTGGGCAAGGATTCGTTGAACCTGGTGACATGCCATCTCTTTTCTTCTGTTCTTCCAGTCACATCTTTACTGTCATGTGCATGCTTTCCTAAACTTACGTACATATGGATCGGAGAGGGAGAAGTAAATATCAACTTGCAGAATATGAAATTATGAAAAAAATGTGGAAGGTGTCGCACTCAGATATGCCAATCCTAGTGATATTGCTTTCCTTTTTTGTCAGAGATAACATTTCTCTTCAGCAGTTAACAATCATATTTTTAAAAATTACACCGTCTTGAAGAAAAAGATACCTCCCCATCATGACAAGTAGCTGGGTTTGAACTTTGGTAATACCAAAATGTATCTTTCTTTTTTAAGTCTGTTCTGTTGAGAGCTTGAAACTGTATTTTCCTGAAAGTATGGATGATGATCGCCTTCCTCTTCAACAGTATTGCGACAAAGTCATTAATTGCCTTGATGTTGGAGGTGAAGGTTCTGCCCTCATTGCTGGTGGTGGTTCTGACCCCATTCTTAGGATATGGGATCCTCGCAAACCAGGTTTCTTTCTTTTTCTGTACAACTTGCAGAAGCACTTTTAAACATCCACTTGAACTTGGAAAACCTCGTCTCTATGTGCTTAAATACCTTTTTCTCTGTATTTATTGTCCAAGTAACTGTGACCTTACATCACATATTGATATATACTCTTTCATTTACCACTTAACAGGTACTTCGGCTCCTGTCTATCAGTTCTCATCGCACAGTTTTTGGATATCCACCTGCAAGTGGCATGAAAAGTCACGGTTTCACTTGCTTTCTGCATCATATGATGGAAAAGTAATGTTATGGGACTTGAGAACTGCGGTTAGTACTACACTTTTTACGTCTCTATTATTAGTAGTACGACTCTTTATAAGCACTTACATTTTCTGTTCCTGGGTAAAATAATTTGTGTTGCAGTGGCCCCTTGCTGTCATTGACACTCACAATGACAAGGTACTATTTTTGCCTTCTAAGATTTGGTTTAAGAGTATTTGTTCTACTATAGCATTTCCTAAACATCAGGCTGTCAATACAGGTACTATGTGCGGATTGGTGGAAAGGTGAAAGTGTTGTCAGTGGTGGGGCTGACTCGAAACTTTGCATCTCTTCTGATGTTTGTGTGTTGTGATATAGAGGTAAATTACTCTATTTTTTGTGTAGAGCTTTGAAACCTATTATCTTTCATCACTTTGTTCACTGGAGTAGAACAGGTTATTTGAAAAAGGATTAGAACTCATCATAATACAATTCGCAGACTGATGGTTGATGTGTTTTACTAACCACCCTATTTGAAGCACTCGATCCCTTGATTGAAATGATGGTAGCTGTGACAATTGTTCACTTGGCTAATTTTCTTTCAGGATTGATCTCCCCTCCCCTATTGCAGAGGCGACGGTGCTCCATATTGATGCGATTTTGCTAATAGAATTCGTTGGGTCAAGCTGAAGTTGTGATAATTTACTTCATAAAACAATTTTGTCTGTGCTAAAGTATAGTCTATAAATGGTTTGTATCATATATTCCTGTGAGTTAGATTGAATTGAAGTTGTATCTCGCGGATGTACATTTTTATTTTATTACAAGATATTTACCCTCAAGCAAATTGATCAAGAGTTACTATTTTCAACCATTGAACTATCCAAACACTGATTTCATGTGTTATTGAGTGACTGCAACTTGTCATCCAGGAATATGACGAATTGATCGATGTTCTTGGTTTGTTAGTTAAAGATTTGGTGTTCGAATTAACATTTTTAGTAATAAAGCACGTGTCATGTTACAAACACGCGAAGCATCGATCCGTTATTCTTGGCCAGTCCAAGTGTCCACAAAGCCCATGGAATCCACATCCGGCCCACTAAATTGTAAGCCCTGGCCCATGAGAACCAAATTACGTGTATACCAGGGTATACGTGCCCCACAAAAAAGGACACGCGTCACATAGTAAGCAAGAAAAAAAAGTTTCAAATCCCATGAGGTCACAAAGACTTCGTACAATTGCCCACCCTAACCGCCCCATCTGTCCCAACCACACAAAATATATATATTTGAAATTGCTCTATATTACTTATTCATATTTTTTTAATAAAATAAATTTCATGTCTAAGAATACAAGATAAAAAATAATTTTATATATTTAATATAATTTTAATTTCTTAAATTTCATATCACATTTTTTTTAAAACAAAGAAAGTATTAGTTTCATCCCAAACAATTATCAGGCTTAAATACTTTTTGATTGACTCTGCTTAAATACACAAACCTATCTCAACCTCTCCTAAAAGTGCTTATTTAAAACCAACAGTGAACATAAGGTGTCCTTATTGTCACATCGTTTTCTCTAGAACTCTCTCTCAAAAGAAGTAGTACACATAAGTCATACTAGTATACATTGATTTGAGACGCACCTTTTCTTTTCTTTTTTTTAGAAGAGAAGAGAAAAGAAAAAGAAAGTTGGTCACGAGGAGAAAGTGAGTTGTGTTGACAAGGAATTAAATTAAAAATGGAGAAAAATGAATTGATGAAGTTGAAAAGTAGTGAGAGTCAGGTGATGGACGGTTCAGATATAATGAAGTTAGTTGGAAATGAGGCTGTGTTTAGTAACTTTGTAGATCATAAGTTTGAAGAACTTGACATAGACAAAGACGGTAAACTTTCAGTGAAGGAGTTACAACCTGCTGTTGCTGATATTGGTGTTGCCCTTGGTTTACCTCCTCAAGGTTCTTCCCCTGAATCTGATCATATCTACTCTGAGGTACTTCCATTTCTCACTTCAAAAATACCATAAAAACTTGTCAGGTTTGTTAGTATTAAATAAATTTATCAGGTTACTTTATCCATCAAAACCTAACTAGGAGTAACATTTTTTTTGTTTCCGTTGAATTTTGAACCACGATCCCTCTAATTTTCACCCACTTTGTTGATGTTGTTACATATTCTTAAACAAATATATATACACATGTATTTTGGTTAATTATTGGTTGAAATAGTAAATGCATATCGCAAATGGTACTGGTATGGGGCCGTAAGAAGCCAGATGTTTAATGATTACAGAGTGCTTGAGATGAGACAGCAACTCAACTGGACTCTTGTGTTTGGACTGTTTATTTATTTTCTTCATTTTTTTAATTCAAGGGTTCAAGTTATCAAGTTTCAAAGTCATGGATATGGATGCGGTTCCATTTGCACGCACTCAAATATTTTTAAGGGATAGTCCAAAAATAGATATTTTAATATCGCCTAACTCCCAAATAAACAATTAAACTTTTGAAAATGTGTATCTAGGCACTTTAACTTTTAAGTTGTCCTATAAATACCACACAACTTTGAGAATGTAGTCCGTTGAAGGTGTCTGATGTGTATAAACAAAGTTAAAAGGTGTTCGTGAGGTGCACCTATGTAAGTAGAAGAGTTCATGAAAAAAATTACACCATATATAGATAGCTTAATATCCTAGTTGAAAATATTATTTATTCAAAAATAGTGTATGTCTTTTGATGAGTCTTGGCATTTAAGTTGTTCTGTCTGTACTTTTTTTTGTTTTTTGTCCCCCTCCTTTTTCCTTAACCATTTGGAATCACCATTGAAGAAGAGATGGAGATTGCCTAGAAATGTTCTTCTTTTTTTTTTTAACTTCTTAATTTTTGAATCTGCCGACAATGATGATATGGACAGAAAAAATTTGGTTAATTCTATTTTTTAAAGATTGTTCTCAGAGGCAGCATTCATACTTTTTATGGACAGGTACCTGTAAAAGTTTTTTACATTGTCAGTGTATAGTAGTTAAATTCTTCTCTATATCGAGAAATATTTTGTCAACCCTTTTCATTAGTGAACTTGTTGCGACTTAGGTTCTTCAAGAATTCACACATGGAAAGCAAGAGAAAGTAAGCAAGACTGAGTTTAAAGAAGTTCTTTCAGATATTTTACTAGGAATGGCTGCTGGTCTAAAGCGAGATCCTATTGTACTCCTTCGTATGGATGGTGAAGATCTTCTTGAGTTCGTTAAAAGTCCTGCATTCGAACCAGAGATGATTTCCCTGTACTCTGAGTTAGAATTGCCTGATGGATCCCTCAAAGATTACATCATCAAGGCTTTTGAGAAGCTCACGGTTGATCAAGGGATGCCTCCTGCATCAGACTCATGGGTAGTTCATTTTTCTCTTTGATGGCTTAACATTCATGTCTAGCTAGAAATTTTACTCTAGAAGATTACATAAATTTGGTTACTTGCAAGACATGACAAATTAACGGTTACAAGTATAGTCTTTTAAAATGTGATTGCTCACTGATTCGTAAAATTTGTTGCTTACAATCCTGTGTAACTTCTTTGTTACACATTTATTTTTATGATGAGTTCTTTTCTAATTATTAGAGCATATTACTTTGTTATTATCTTGATCTGTAGGTAATGAGTAATGTTGTGGAGCCAGTAGTTGAATCCTGCATTGGAGCAACTAACGAGCAACCTGTTACACAAGAAACATTTTTGGCTGAATTTAAGAAAGTTGCAGAGAGTGCTGCTCAACGTCTCAAGGAGCAGCCAGTCATTGTTGCTCACAGCGAGAATACATTTGATGGAAGTGGAATTAAAAGACTATTGTCTAACAAGTTTGAATTGGATAAGGTATGTACACATCACCCATGGTGTTGTCTTCAGGACCTAATAATATATAGTAAAATATCATGCTACAAGAAATGAAACTTTCTTTGGGACTAATGTCATACAAGAAGTGAAAAGTTGCGACAAGAGACTTTTCCTTGTGGCCTGAGGGTCTTTTTATTTAGTTGTTTATCTACGGTGCAGACGCTGGACTCTGCCTTAAAGACTATACCCAGAGATCGCAATGGGAAAATGTCAAAGGAATACCTACGAGTTGCACTTGATGTTCTTGCACCATCAGCTGGTTTACCTCCCATTGGTGCTGTTGATCAGGTATTTGTCAACTAAGGATTGAACTTCTATGCACTAACAATATCAGCTTCTTAAACATATTGTAGCCAGTAATCTACCTTAATTTTCAAATTAATAATCTTATCAGTGTGTAGAAGCTAAACTTGTCAACTAATAGATCACATTTTTGCTTAATTAAAAGCTGGCCTTGCGTATGATATAGTTGTATCCCGTGTTTGCAGATGGATAAGGTCATACAAGAAGTCTGTAAGATGTTGGATGCCGATGATGGGAAGATGGTTAAAGAGGAAGAGTTCAAGAAGTTGTTGACTGAAATACTGGGCAGCATGATGCTGCAATTAGAAGGGAAGCCAGTTTCGGTGTCCACAAACTCTGTTGTGCACGAGCCTCTTGCTTCTTCCTCTACGCTCTTGCAGCCTCCATCTATTTCTGAGATGTAACTGATCTTATTAAATTAGACAAAAAAAAAGAATAACAGGGGATGTATGATGTAAATTTCTGTTAAAATTTAAAGGCTGAGAGACACTGCCTTACTAATACAGTATCCATTTCAGCAATTAATAGTGTCATATTACATGAATTAAATCAGTGCCTGTTTAAATAACTTAATGATCAACTGCGCAAGCGAAGCCGGGAAACGGACCGCAGCGCAACGACTAGGACTCGTGTCGGAGGAGTTTTGAGCGTGAGCTAACACTCATGCAGCGGCAAGGACCCGCAACTCTCGAAGGGGCCACCAACCGCCTATTTAGAAATAAAATCATGAGCATAGACTATCATCATATTCATGAGATGGTGAAGATTTAAAAACTCAGCTAAACTGCGACTGTTCAGAATGTTGTGTGATGTTTTATAATTTTGACAGGATGGTTTGCATCCTCCACCTTTAGTCAGAGGATTTATGTGGTGTGAATTCAGACGAGTCAACGAGGGGTTTCCGATACTGAATGTATAAAGACAAAAAATAAGAACTTGGAATTTTGAAAATCATGATCAAAAGTATTTTAGGTTCCAAGATAAAGATTCTAGTTTTGTCTGCAAGTGTGAGGTCATTCTGTGACTCATACATGAATGATAAAATCTTTGTAAGTCAACTATGTGATTATAGTTGACATTTGGAGGATAAGTAATGAACTTTGAATTTTTCAATCCATCAAAGATGTAAGCTTTTCATGTTTAGTCATAAAAAAAAACTTGTTTTTTTCAAAATCTCAACTAAGAGAAGTTTAGTTTATTAATTTTCACCAACAGAAAGTAGATAATATAGGAACTTCTGGAATGATTACTCATGCTTTATTTACCTCTCTTGCATATTGCATGTTTGCCTCCATAACTAAAGGATGTTGGAAAGGACAAAAACTCCTACTGAAGATTTCTTTTATTGGTTAAATATAAAAAAAACATGACTTAGCAATTAGTTGAGTATCTGAGAAAAAGTTCTTTTTGTCCTATTTGATTCTGTGTTGATATTTCCAATAGTCTTTTGCTTTGTTACAACCAAACATTGTGGATTTTGTTCCAAGATGGAATAAACAAAAGTTTGTCTCATTCTACTTGTGAAGGACTATATCTCTGTTCCAAATTGTACTTTCAGAAAGGATCATGGACTTGATCAGTGGACCAGGGTGTTTTCCCCTGATGTTGGTATTGATAATTACTATGTTCAATCTTTCAGGCAAACACCCTTTTCCTATTTTCATCTTTTTTTTGCTTCTGTTTTGGATATAGTAAATACCTTAGCCACTTGTTCTTCTGTTATGTTGGGTGCTTTTAATTTCAGATTGCTATGATCCTCTGGATCCTACTGGAAATATATCGGTTAAGTATGACATTGTTAGATGGACAGAAGATGGTTACCAGGTAAGGAAAAACGAATTACTTCCATATTGAGTAGGACCCAACATCTATTTTCTTAACACGATATCAGAGTCATTACCCACGCTCCAGTTACCAGGCCTGGTCGTGCATTTGGGAGGGGAGGGTGAAGTTTTTGAGATTAAGTCTGAAGTTCATTGTTTTAGTAGTTTCATTGCGGCCAAAAGTTTATATATATCCATCAGTTTAATATTAGTAGTTCTTTGCTCTCTAACTTGAATATAGTGCTTCAGGCAAGGATAACCATTCAAAATTACTACAAGTATAGACACATCGAGAAACCGGGCTGGCAACTAGGGTGGACATGGGCAGCTAATGAGGTTATTTGGTCAATGTCTGGTGCTTTCGCCACTCAACAAGGAAATTGTTCAGCCTTCAGATCTGAAATTCCACATTGTTGCAAGAGAAGTCCTATTATAGTAGACTTTGCGCCAGAAGCTCCACCAGAGAACAAATTAGATGGTTGCTGTCATGGTGGACTGCTTGCTGCCTCAGCTATCAATCCTTCCAATTCTTTTGCGTCCTTTGAGATGAAAGTTGGAAACTTAAGGGGAAATTTTACAGTTCACAAGCCTCTAAATCTCACTCTAATGGCTCCAGGACCTGGTTATACTTGTGATGAATTTATGGACACAGATCCAACAACATCTTTGGTTATAGAAGGACAAAGACAAGAGCAAGTAATCAGTAAGTATTCTGTTTTGAACTTATACTACTAATTTGAGTTGATATCGTTATGTGTTCTGCCTCATTTTTTAAGTGTTCACTGTAAAACATTAGATTGGACATTAAATCCCTTTTCTTCAGGGACATGGAAATCAACATGCACCTACTCAACTTTCTTGGCCAACAACTTGCCAACCTGTTGTGTTTCTCTTTCAACATTTTACAATCCTGAGGTAACACCATGCAATTTGTGTAGCTGTGGATGTAAATTAGCTGACAATGAGGCAAAATCATGCATTGGGTTGGTAACTAAGCAAAACAGCTTTTTTTATAGGATGAAATACTTCAATTTTGCCCATTTTGCAAAGAGTGCTGATTTTGTTGTGGTTTATATATATGTGTGGAACAGGCAAAGATCATCAGGACCATATGTTCGCGAGCTAATTCAGTGTACTGATCATATGTGTCCCCTTCGGGTTCACTGGCATATTAAGAAGAACTACATGAATTATTGGAGAGTGAAACTCACTGTTTCCAATTACAACTTAGGCAAAAACTATTCCAATTGGAATTTGGTAGTCCAACATCCTGGTTTTAGCCAGCAGACAACTGTCTTCAGCTTCAACAGTACAATGCTCTCTACCGTTGGTGTCCCAGGTATTTGCTCTACATTAAAGTCGCGCTACAGATGTAGATGATAGTATAATAAAAAATAATTATCGATGTTGATGCAGATGAAGTTGCACTGTTTTGGGGTCTAGACTTGTACAACGATGCTTTGTTGCAAGCTGAAGAGAAGCAAATGGGATCTGTGACTACAGAAATACTTTTACTTAAGGACATGAACTCATTTACACTTAGAAATGGATGGGCATTTCCAAGGAGAATATATTTCAATGGTGAGAACTGTGAAATGCCTCTTCCACAGAGTTTCCCTATGCTTCCAAATGGTTGCTCAAGGGAAAAACCTTGTAATAGCTATCTTTCTATGCTACTACTGTCGATATATTTGACTTACAAGACACTTAATTTCTGATCCTAAATCAAGATTATTCATCTTCCACCTCATGAGAATCAACTTTATTGATCCTATTCGATATGCTGAAGGTGAGAAATCATCAATAATGCAGCTTCCTGGGCTTAAAAGACGAAACTCTAGTGATGAAGAGTCATTTCATTTTTTGGCGCATCAGTACATTCCAAAAATATGGACCATGTTAACATTATTGGTTTGAGACCTTTGGCATATGATTAACTTGTACATGCTTCCTCACAATTGTATGCAAGCATACAAATGAGAATAACATTGCTTTGTAATTAATAACTTCCGGAAGTTGTGAAAAATATAGCATAAGGTAGAGTGATTTCAAGCGTTTTATAATATTCAAGAGTTAAACAAAAATGTGGCATGAATCAAGACGAATGATGTATTTTTCTTATTTTATCCGAAATATTTTGTATAGATAATATAAATTATAAGAAATATGCACAAGTACTTCCTAAATTATTACCAAAATTTCAGAGACACACCTTAATTAAACTAAGGTCCTATTACCACCTGAACTTGTTTTTTTTTGTAATTTTATACACCTTTTGTGGCACATCCGTGACTCTACACAATTAAGGCGCGTGAGAGATATTTGAATGTCATGTAAGTTAAAAAAGTGCACAAAATTACAAAAAAGAATAAGTTCGGAATAATAGGACCTTAGATTAATTAAGATATATCTCTAAAATATTAATCATAATCTAAGGGATACTTGTATATTTTCCTTAAATTATAAGTATAAACCTTTTAATTATTTTCATTTCTTTCAAAAGATTCTTTCACATTTATCGAAAGTTATAAATGAGTATTGAAGAGAAAGTCTAATATATCCTTTGTTATAAAAGTAATTTCTACGGATCTAAACTTTTAAAAGTTACGACCACATGAGTGCGTGAGTGTGAACCACAAAGTTGGGGGTATATTAGGAATAGTCAAATGCCTAATTTATTGGATTTTGGGTCGGGTCGGGTCGGTGCGACATATGGGCGGTTTAACAACATTATCAATCAAGAGCTCTCCAATAATAGACCGTACAAGTTACCACTTCGATTCTCAATTTCTCAATCGAAAAAAGTTTTCAAAGGAATTACCTGTAAAAATGGCTCCTCCTCACGGCGATAAGTCAGCAGAAGTCAAGGAGGAGGCCGCCGCCGCCGTTTCCTCAGTCGATAACCGCCCTATTTCCACCATCCTCTTCATCGTTGGTACTTCTTTTTTCTTTTCAAAAAGAACTTTGTTTGTTTGTTTCTTACTTGTGATTGCTCCGTTTATTAAGAAATCGTGTTGACGGTAAAAAAAAATTATTTGTGAATCTTCAGCTATGCAAACAGAGGCGTTACCTCTTGTTAAGAAGTTCCAGCTTACCGAGGACCTCAATTCCGTGTAAGCTCCATCTGTTCTTATTTTGAGGCTTTTGCTACTCAGAATTGAAGAGATTATATGAAAAATCACAACTGAAAAAGTTACAAATTCTCTCCTTTTTGCTTTCCCGCTTACTTTTCGGATATTAATTCTCTTGTACCGAAAGATCAAGAATAAGAGACTAAGTTTAGTTGTGAGTCTGGAAATACCTTTTTCCTTTTTGAAATATAAGCTACATATATAAATAAATCACAATTTCATAGCTAAAATATTCATTAAAAATGTTGAAATATGTAAGCCAAGGTAAAAAGAATTTGACTTTTTCTTTCGAAATAGAATGATGAGTCTTCGAGATGACCAAAATACACATGTGAAGATAACCAGAAACTAGTGGTAGAAGAAATGAAAGAGTAGTTATTAGACAAGTTTTGAGGCGGTAAATATTATAGATGCTAGAGCTCTATGTATATTTTTTATGACAACAAATGTTGCAGTGTTTACCTGTTGAATCATATGGACGTGGTATGAGGTTGCTTGTTAAACAAACTAGCAAGATTATGATGTGTTGCATATGTATTGATTCACCCGGCCCATTTTATGAGACACCCTTTCCTTTTTAGTCCGTTCAAAAAAGAATGTCACCTTATTATACTTATAAACAATGTAACTTTTGAATTTCCCTTATAATACTAATGAAATGATTTACACACACAAATATCTAAGGATTGTTTGAGATTACAAGTTTCAAAAGTCTTCCTTTTCTTCTTAAACACCGTGTCTAGTCAAACGGCACCATAAAATGGGATGGAGGGGGTAATACTTATTCAAACTGAAAATATTTTGAGGATGATTCACATGATTTAGAAAAAAGAATGATATCCTATTCGAAAATGAATTGTGTAAGAGTTGTTGCCTTGTTGGATTCTTTCAAAAGACCTGGGAATTTTATTATAATGATGACCAGGAACCTCTAAATTTTCCACATGCTCAATATAGTTTGTAATTATTTATGCAGTAGATTTTTACGATGCTTGGTGGTTTGTTCTGCTGTCTCTTCTTGGATCTAATATCTGATGATGTGCCCAATGCAGGTTCCCAAAGGGAGTCCCTTGGGTGCGGTTCTATGGTAATTACAAGGGTCTCACCGTTAATATTGTTTGTCCTGGGAAAGACCCAGCATTGGGTAGGGTATTTTGATCTTGGCAATTTTTACTTTGCTGATTACATCTTATGAACGTGGCGCTTATATAACCAATGCACGAGCATATTGTTTCCACATTTGAGATAGAAAATTATATTATAGTAACAATCCTTCTTTCCCTTCGAGGTATTAGCATATTGTGTATTGCCTCATTTAGTGGTAGGATAAAGTTTCACCAACCAGTTCTTCAAATGGGAAGTTTTATGTGGACTCTCTCATTTTCTTCGTGGGGTATGTCTCCTATTAGTCCAATCATTAAGTACATTGAAGTATATAGAAAATGTCCATCTCTATAGATACATCTTTTTTCTATAAAAAAAAAATGGGGGGGGGGGGGGGGGTTGATGTAAGGAAAGTTGTATTATTCACAAACTCAGCACTGTGGGATTGTTGTGAACTACAAAACAGGCTAGGTTATCCCTATTCCCTGTTAGGGTGGTACTAATGTAGGGTGCCTGAAATCCAAAAACTCACATAACTTCACAAACTGAAAATATACCCAAGAACTGAAGCATTTAAGCAAATTATAAAAAGCCCTCAATCTATGAAGAGGATTATATTTTGCTTCAATGAAACTAGTTATTCTCTCCTTCAAATAGTCCAAACAGTAAACAGTGATACTGAACCTGTAGACCTTTTTTTCCTGCATCACTTAGTAGGCCTATCATACACGGTTTGGTGTCTAAGCTAGCTTACGGTTTGTGCCCATATCAGTTCAACTTAGGACCTGGTAGCTCTCACAAGCACATGGACTAGATCACTCTGCCATTGGAAAAAATTACACAAACGTATTTTTGATCTCAAGTGGGATTTGAGCCTAGTTTTCCATTATTTTTGTCCGCTTCACTGACTGCTTGGCCACGCCTTGGATGATGCCACAACTCAAAAGTATCCAAAATCATTAATTATCTTCCTTGCTATTCCATGATGCAAAAATTGAGTTGTTAAAAATCTTCACTATCCATCAGACTTGAATGGTATCTACACTGATGAAGCCCCAGAAAGGTGTGGTTAGCAACTTAGCTTCTTCACTATCCAAACACCGCAGTTATGAAAAAAAGACTTGATTCATGCATAGTAGTCCATCCAAAACAGGTTACTTTTGTAAGGGCCCTATTCTTCCACGGTCATACCTTATCAGCTCTGCTAGAGTGTATCATATTTGGTACATGCTGTAACTGTAAAATACCTTTTTTACCCAACCTGCTTCACAGCACCCTTCCTCCAGTGTTTTCAGTAATGAAATCTGTCTTTTAAACTTCTAACAATTTCTCTAAAGGTGATATTCGAACTCCATTGCCTTTGTGTTGGGTTATGGTGGCTTCTACATGTGCGGTGAAGATCTGGAAATTCATCCTTGAGAGGCATGTGGCTTAGCTAGTTATCCTGGGTCAAAGGATGAATTGCATTTTCAAGATCAAGGCTGTAATTTAGAGTTAATGAGTACATATATATGGGTGTGCCCATTTGCAGAGGAACGTAGCCAGTAGTCTTAGAGCCTGGTCTTCTACTCTTGAAACCTTCCTCTTGCTTGAAGGAAAATAACTTTGCCAAAGCACTAAAGTATCTGATGCTCTAAATAGTTTGATGTTTTCTCTTGCAGTGTGTGTCCTCGTATACCTCAAATATCTTATATGCATCAAATCTAGTGGTCTAAAGTTTGTCAAACTAACTTATGAATGGTCTAACACAGGGGTTGATGGTGTGGGCACGGTTTCTGCATCTCTTGTGACATATGCTTCTGTCCAAGCATTAAAGCCAGACCTCATCATAAATGCTGGCACAGCAGGTGGATTTGGGGTATGATTTGTGTTTTTAGATTCTGATATAATCTTCCTTTTCCTCTTTCCCTGTTATTTCTCTCATCTCTCTTATTGAGCGCTAGTAAGATAAATTGTTAGAGGAAAAGCGACAACCTTGTTGGAACAGGAAGATATTGGGACAGATTAATTGAAAATTTTGTTCCTGTTATTCCTCCATGTTGAGCAAACATAAATTTTTCTTTGGTTATGTTATTTTTGACGCGTTAACTTATTTCAGGCCAAAGGTGCTTCAATAGGAGATGTTTTTATTTCATCAGAAGTTGCTTTCCATGACAGAAGAATACCAATCCCGGTAATATCCATTTTCCATCCACGCATTATGTCTTTTGAATTCTATTGTTGTTAAGAACCACATAGAATGTGGGAAACTGGATCAAAGCTGACACTAGGTTGACAAACCATTTGCCTCTATACCTCATAACCAGAGATCACAATTCCTATTATTGTTGTGGCTAAACTTCTACATTTTACATCATTTCCAGTTTATTTACTGGACTTGGTGCTTCAACTGTTTTAAGGACATTGTGATCAATAATCTAGTGAAAGAAGTCCTTGGTTATAAAGTTATCATTCTCAAAAAAAAAAAGAAGTCCCTGGTTATTTACTGCAAACCTCAAATTTTTTGATTC